TATCAGCCTTGAGCAAGCGTTGTGATAAATGCTAAAACCTTCTCCTTGTGAGAAGAGGCCTTTGCTCAGTATTGGACACTTAAAGGCTGATGCTATCTACAATAACTGTGCAGCACAATAGATTGATTTGATTCTACGGATTATAATTAACTATTTTACGGAGTGACTCGACTGGTTTCAAATCACACAAGGGACTTATACTACGACGAACGTCATTCACATATCAATCATCTTTAATAAAGAAAGAAAATCGAATGACGTCATGAAATTTTTAAAACAATCCTAAACATAATAAAAATTCTGATATTCTCACAACAAGCTATTAAACAACACCGACTCTCAATTCAAACATTTTAAAATTTTAAATTTCAACTTTCATTACCTACGAAATAGCACCTCGTTTGTCTAATTTTTACACACAAACATACATACAGAGCCTCTTGCCTTTGCCCCTCGATATACAGAAACTAAAGAATTTTATGTAATACTAACGGACCCTCCCCTAAAACCCCCTTTATATAAAATTTCAGCGAAATCGTTAGGGCTGTTTCCGAGATCACATGCTTTTTAAGCAATCAGCGCCATCTGTTGACTGTTTTGTGAATCTAAACCATCCAGGGCGCCACTCTAACGCATACAGAAAAATACATTTAAATCGGTCAAGCCATTTAGGAGGAGTTCTATGACATTCATACGTACAGTAGAATTATATAATTATATATATAAAGATAAGTCGACAAACGAGCAGACGGATTACCTGATGGTAAGCAATCAGCGCTGCTCATAGACTCCCGAAACAACAGAGGAGCTACGAGTGCGTTACCGTCCTTTAGGGGATTAGGAATTTGGAGATTTTGGGATTGGGGAAGGATTGGCCTCCTTGCATCCTTAATTTAATAATAATTATAAAGTAAGTTGTTCTAAATAAGTTAGTCTAATTGAAAATGTACTTATGTTTGTGTCACTGTAGATCGTATTAAAAGTAATCTGTGAAAAACGTAGTGGGTAACATACTTGCCAAGTGTAATATGTAAGTTTGAATTATGAATATTTTGTAATATGTTACTGTTTGTTTTTCCTCAAAATAAAATAAAAATAAATAAATTTGTTGTTCTCTTTGGAGAGGGTAATATTATCAAATGACTTCTCTCACTGAGGGTAAGGCGAGAGAGAGTGTCAGACTCTTACTGACTAAAAACCCCCCCGTTCCTTCTCCTGGTCTCTAAGCCGAGGCGAGAAGTCATATCTTTAGAATATAAGATAACTTTGCAACCATCCTAGTAACACATATATTTCTGTACGGTTTTTTCAAAACTATAAACCTAAACATATAACTACATACAATGGTCATATACAAAAAAATATTTAGGTACTAACAAATTCGTAAAATAGAAATTAACAATCATTCACATATAAATAATTATATTAAAATTCAATTTAAATTATTGATAATGAAATAATAATATGATTCAAATAAATTTATATAAAATAATAACATTTCAAGATTTTATACATTCTCAATAATCTTAGAGACATTATGTTGAGAAAGGCTCCATACAAAAAATAAACGAGCAGACGGATTACCTGATGGTAAGCAATCAGCGCCGCCCATGGACACCAGAGGACTTCAAATGCGAAGAGATTATATGAGGGATTTTAAAAACCTCCAAGAATCCCAATCATACGGCGAAACTAAAATTAAGTGTTTTTCACGCTGGAATTTTCTACGGTCGTGATATCACTCCAGTGGAGCTAGCTCATTCGTGCCGAAGTATGGCTCTCCTAATTTCAAAATTCTTTAGAAAAAAACGGACTTACACCCGGTTTCCGAAAGGCCGATCAATGTTAAAATCAATTTAATGTCTTGTCAAGTCATCTGATTGGTTGAATGAATAATCATCACATCACAGGAGATTAGTTAATTTTAGCGTTGACAAGCCTTTCAGAAACCGGGTGTTAATCACGCAAATAACTGACCGATAAAACTGGCGTGAAACAACGTTGTGTTTCACCGTGTGACTGAGGTTACTCCAATCTCTAAACCCCCAAACCCCTAATTCCCAAAAAGTTAGCAACGCATTTGAGCATTCCTTTGGTATCGTGGGTGTCCATAGGCGTCGCTGTTTGCTTACCATCAGAAAATGAGCCAGACCAGTCACAAATAAAAAAAAAATTTCGTTAGTTTATTGAGACGTTCATTTTTAATTAATTGTTACAAAATAAGATTTTCAGATATTTATACCCTTAAAGGCAAATAATTATTTTTTACTAGTTATTACCATATTATTACATAATTTAAAAAGTAAAATACGAATGAATGACACACTATGAAAATTAAAAATATATTAAATCCATCAGTTACACTTACACAAAGAAAAAATATCACACACGAATTTAATATAAGGAATGAGAGCTAGCCACTTCACTGCAAATATCACTACATAGTATAAAACAAAGTCGCTTTCTCTGTCCCTATATCCCTATGTACGCTTAAATCTTTCAAACTACGCAACGGATTTTGGTGCGGTTTTTTAAAGGTAGAGTGATTGAAGAGGAAGGTTTATATGTATAATAACATCCATTAAATAGTGGAGAATAATACTATAATATAAATTACTAGCTACTCTCACGCGCTCGCTGCTCAGCTCCATTTGATCGTAGCGTGATGTTTTATAGCCTATTATAGCACTCAGGAACATTGCAGCTATCTATCAGTGCAAGAATTTTGGCAATCCGACCAGCGGTTCCAAAGATTACCCCCTACATACAAACTTACAAATTTTACCTCTTTATAATATTACTGAACTAATAGTGACGTGTTGTCACATCCACACTTAACTTCACTGACTAACAGACTGACAGACTATTATTCTAAGTTTGACGTTTTAAAAGCACTTGCATATGCTTTAGTGAGGATAAATTATTTTTGACATTGATTTTGACTTTGACAGATGACAAGAATATATTGTCAAATGTATTCAATTCGGTAATATAATAAAAACATAATCTTATTATAAAACCAAGGTATTTTTTTAGTCTAGGTCTAAACCATTGAGTCAGTTTTTGTATTTCAAATTGAAGGAAGGTTTTTTGTGAAGGGAAAATCATCAAATGACTTCGCCCTATGTGTCAGACTCTTACTGACTAAAAAAACCTCCCGTTCCTTCTCCTGCTCTGGGCCGAGGTCGCGGTGCCTCATTGCGCTTACCCCTTAACCCCGGCTGAACATCAGCCCTATAGGGCCCCGTCTGTGGTGGTCTATTGGCTCTTTGAGGCGCGCGCGGAACGCTACGCGCCGTACGCTCGGAATTGAAGGTCACCTACCTCACCTTAGAATAAGATTCTAAATAAAAAAAAACCTGACTCAATGGTTTAAACTTAATATAAATATTATTTCGTATCAAGAGGGACAGTGTCTAGTGTTTTTAATTCATCTATAAATTTTAAATAGAAGCATTCTTTTAGATTGTGGGTACGCATATGTGAGAGCCATGTTCGAGACGACAAAGGATTAAAATTTAATGATAGATACCATCATTTGTTCCTTTTTATTAACAACTTGTGTCTGCATTGTTCTCACATAGGGGTACAATAATATATTATTAGTGAATTGTAAAACAAATATTTTTTTTAAAAGAGTAACGAATGGAGTTTCTTGCTCGTTCTTCTCCATTCGAATCTACAATTTGGAACGAGCACCTCGCTTCACTGACGAACAGACTGACAGACTACTATTCTATTTTGACGTTTCAAAAGTACTTATTTATGGTTTAGTTGGAATAAATGATTTTTATTTGAAGAAAGATTGTATTATTTATAGATAATATTTATGTATAAATTAATTATTTTCTACAACATTTTGAATTGAAAAAAACAAAATAACATCAAGTTTTCAATTTTATAACGCACAGGCAGAACTCACTATAAATTCATTTATATAATATATTAAAACAATAAATATACTATATTTTTCTTCAATATAATACTTTTTTTTCATTTTGAGCACGAAATATGTCATGGATAATATAGGTAATTTATACAGGGTGTAAAAAGACACTTAACGAAGCCGAAAGCCACGTATTCTACCCATTATTTGGATCATTTTTTTCTTTAAGACCATAGCTGGGACTCCACGGGTTCTCGAGATATTGAAGGCCAAAGATGCATTTTTACTTTTTATTTTTTTTTGCGCAATCGAATTCTAAGTATTATTACAAAACTTTTTTTCAAACAAACATTACCTGAATTATTGATTTTTCTAAATAAATTACGCATTTGAAGTTAAGAACAGTAATGTACGTAATAAATAAATGCAGACCCGCACAAAAAACATCGTGCATCTCAGTAGGATTTTTATTTTACAGAATTGTTTTGTTGTTGCGAAGTAAAACGTCGACCTACGTACTTATCACAGAGTTTTCATGCTAAGCTGTGAACCTACGCACTCAATGACACGAAGCCCGTTTGCTTTACATTGCGCGCAATAAAAAAAATTTTAATACCTAAAAATAAAAGTCGTTTCCCAGTGATAATTTTAGCGTAAAGCTACTTAGTTAGAACTGCAGTATGCGTAGTTAACGGCTTCGTTAAGTGTCTTTTTACATCCTGTATATTTATAATTCATCGCTAACGGCGTTCTATTTTTCAATGGGTTATTTTTGTGGGGAGAAAATTATCAAATGATTTCTCTGTAAAAGTTTGAATTCGCTAACCGGTCTTGAGCGATCATCATCATCATCATCAGCCTACAAGTGCCCGCTGCTGAGCAAAGGGCTCTTCTCACACGGAGAAGGGTCGAGTATTAACCACCACGCTTGCTCCAACGGCGATTTCAAACTTAAAATTACAAATTATAAGTCCAGGTTTCCTCACGATGTTTACCTTCACCGTATGTCAGTATAATCATAGAAATGACATATAACTCGGAAAAAGTCACATTGGTACTTGCCAGGTTTCACACCCTCATGCATGAGAAGCGGGGGCCTTAACCTCCGGACCACCACGACCTTGGCTTTGAGCAAACGTGGTGGTTAATGCTCAAACCTTCTCCGTGTGAGAAGAGGCCTTTGCTCAGCAGTGGGCACTTATAGGCTGATGACGATATGAGATGCAGACTTAGAATTAATTATATTTTTTTAATTAAAACACCATAATATTGCTCCTAGGTGTTCTAGAGAGATTATCGTCTATAGTTAGGTACATGTTGAATGAGAAAAACATGGCGGTCGATGATAGGAAATGCCAAATATCGTGCGAATCGTATAGTTGTAGCAGGGAACATTGGCGATTGCTTTGCCGCGACTGCGCCGGAGTAAGCTGAAAGAAATATATATAATTATTAACAATACAATATAATTGGAATATCTAAACGCGTTCAGTAAATACGTAAAATGTTTAAAGTAAAGGGGGTCAAGTCAAATCTCATCTAAACTTATATTGGAGGGAGGGGGGCCTGCCAAGGTATTTAAATAATTACTTTTCGCGTTAATACCCGCTACAATATACGTTGTTATCATGAAAAGCGAAAGTTTAAACGTTAGTATACATACTTACATCAAGCCATATTAAGTCATGTCGTGACTAGTCACATAAAGACGTGTTATGTCAAGTCAAGCCATGTTACGCCAAGTCGTGACTAGTCACATTAAGACGTGTTATGTCAAGTCAAGCTATGTTACGTCAAGTCGTAACTAGTCACATACGTGTTATGTCAAGTCAAGCCATTTTACGTCAAGTGGTCACTAGTCACATTAAGACGTGTTATGTCAAGTCAAGCTATGTTACGTCAAGTCGTAACTAGTCACATACGTGTTATGTCAAGTCAAGCCATTTTACGTCAAGTGGTCACTAGTCACATTAAGACGTGTTATGTCAAGTCAAGCTATGTTACGTCAAGTCGTAACTAGTCACATACGTGTTATGTCAAGTCAAGCCATTTTACGTCAAGTGGTCACTAGTCACATTAAGACGTGTTATGTCAAGTCAAGCTATGTTACGTCAAGTCGTAACTAGTCACATACGTGTTATGTCAAGTCAAGCTATGTTACGTCAAGTCGTAACTAGTCACATACGTGTTATGTCAAGTCAAGCCATTTTACGTTAAGTGGTCACTAGTCACATTAAGACGTGTTATGTCAAGTCAAGCTATGTTACGTCAAGTCGTAACTAGTCACATACGTGTTATGTCAAGTCAAGCCATTTTACGTCAAGTCGTGACTAGTCACATTAAGACGTGTTATGTCAAGTCAAGCTATGTTACGTCAAGTCGTAACTAGTCACATACGTGTTATGTCAAGTCAAGCCATTTTACGTTAAGTGGTCACTAGTCACATTAAGACGTGTTATGTCAAGTCAAGCTATGTTACGTCAAGTCGTAACTAGTCACATACGTGTTATGTCAAGTCAAGCCATTTTACGTCAAGTCGTGACTAGTCACATTAAGACGTGTTACGTCAAGCCAAGTCATTTTACGTCTAGTCGTGACTAGTCACATTAAGACGTGTTATGTCAAGTCAAGCCATTTTACGTCAAGTCGTGACTAGTCACATTAAGACGTGTCTAATTAAGTCATGTTAGATCAAGCCACACGCATTATATTCATATTGGATAAAATAAAATAAAAGTAAAATTTTGATTAAATTACCATTCTACTGAAGGAAGAGAGAGATAGATAGAGACAGAGAGAGAGAGAGAGAGAGAGAGAGAGAGAGAGAATTAAGTAATTTATAGCAATCATTGCATTGTATAAAACAAAGTAGCTTTCTCTGTCCCTATATCCCTATGTACGCTTAAACCTTTAAAACTACGCAACGGATTTAGACGCGGTTCCTTAATAGATAGAGTGATTGAAGAGGAAGGTTTATATGTATAATAACATCCATTAAACAGTGGAGAAATTTAGTATCAGCGTTGGAAGCCGGGGCAGGTTGCTAGTTATTAATTAATAGAATTATAATAATAATACTTACAGCCCAATTTGTGTTTTGGTCTAAGTAGAAATAGCTGGATCCGAACCATATCGAATATGTCAGCGCTATGAACACCCAACTGTGAACAAACAAATTAATATAATAAAATGAATAATAATATTACTTTAGAGCTGTTTTTTCAATAGTCACAGCGTTGTGTTTCGCCGTGTGAGTGAGGTTACCGGAGGCCCAATCCTTCTCCCCAATCCCTCCTCAAACCCTAAAAGGTCTGCAACTCCTACGTTGCGGGTGTCCATGGGCGGCGCTGATTGCTTACCATCACCTAATGGTAAGCAATCAGCGCCGCCGTAATGATAATGGTAAGGTATACTCGTTTGCCAAGCTATTTCATAAAAAAAAACCGATAAATGTTATCTGATTAATAAAATTGTTGCTGTCACTGTCTTATACAAACATTCTGACGCGACAGCATCATGATTATTTTGCAGGTAACTTTTATCTAACCATTTAAAAATCAGCCCTAAGAGGTCAATTAATAATAATTATAAATTCTTTTCGTGAACCCTTGACCTTTTCAACCGACAACAATAATCATTTTTTTAAACCCCAAGCGAACGCCGGCGTTCGTCCACCTATTGTTATTCTGTTGTGTCTCGAATTACCACGATTAAAGGGTAAACAAGTTTTGTGATATGGCGGCAAACGAGTAGTCGGATTATCTGACGGTAAGCAATCGGCGTCGCCCATAAACAGATTAAGGGATCGGCGAGGGATGGGGATATGGGAAGGATTTGAACTCTAATAACCTCAATCACGCGACGAAACACAACGCTGTGGTTGCTTCACGCCGGTTTTCTGTGAGGCCGTGGTATCACTCCGGTCGAGCCGACCCATTCGTGCCGAAGCATGGCTCTCCCACACTTAATTTTGACTATTTGGAAACTACCGTATTGTATGTTTGTAAATGCAACAATTTCATACCTGTACCAACGAATCGACTCCCGGTTGAGTAACTTCATGACGATATAAAATAATGTGTAGAGGAACAGATTACTCATGAGGACCAGCAGGAGGTGGGAGGCGAAGTCACGACTGTGCTGGGCCACTCTGGAAAAAAAAACATTATCACTACATAGTATAAAACAAAGTCGCTTTCTCTGTCCCTATATCCCTATGTACGCTTAAATCTTTAAAACTACGCAACGGATTTTGTTGCGGTTTTTTCATAGATAGAGTGATTGAAGAGGAAGGTTTATATGTATAATAACATCCTTTAGATAGTGGAGAAATTTTGTATCAGCATCGCATTCGTCCGAAGCTGGAGCTAATCAGCCTATAAGTGCTTAGCAGTAAGCAAAGGCCTCATCTAACACGGAGAAGGTTTGAGCATTAATCACAATGGTTGCTCAACGCGGATTGGCGAATTCACACGTATAATTATGAATTGCAAGCCAGGCAAGGTTGAGCAAGGTTAACCTTCCCTGATACATGTGCTGAAAAATTTGACACAAAAAATTGCCTAATTCGGTACAGTAAACCAAAAGTTAGAAACATTCTGGCAGTATTTTTTTTTAATTTAGAAAAAGAGTAAGGAGGAGGAGTCGGGGGGGAATTAAGACGTAGCGACCCTTTTGTTTGTATGGAGGAAGTTGTGACCCTTTCGAAGGTCGCCGGGCCGCTAGCTTTAAATAAATTATCGAAGTTTAACTTACCCATAAGCGGCTATAGCCCAGTTAGACAGGTTGGCTATAATCAGTAACACACAGCGGCCACAGTGAGTCGGGGTGATAGCCGCTAGGGGACGCGACACTAGCTCGCGGGCCGCGCGACATATCATACCTCCATCTGTGGGAAGAAGTTAGTCAAATCATTTATAACAAATATTAAGCACTTTTGAATGTCAAAGAAAAAATGTGTGGGAGAGCCAATGGGTCGGCTCGACCGGAGTGATACCACGGCCTCACAGAACACCGACGTGAAACATCCACAGCGTTGTGTTTCGCCGTGTGAGTGAGGTTACCGGAGGCCCAATCCCGCCCCTTCCCTTATCACTTCCCGATCCTTATATCCGCAAACCCTATCCCCAAAAAGCCGGCAACGCACTCGTAACTCCTTTGGTGTCGCGGGCGGCGCCGATTGCTTACCATCAGGTAATCCGTCTGCTCGTTTGCCGACTTATACTATAAAAAAAAAAAATTAAAGATAAAAAGTGTCAGTCTGTCGGTCAGTCCTCTTAGTGAAGCTATTTGCTCGTTCCAAAGTGTAGATTCCTATGGAGAATAACGAGCAAGAAACTCCATGGTTACTCTTTCGTTTTGTTAGTTAAATCATCATTATTATCAAGTAACCTTTGCCCGTGACTTTGTTCGCGTGGAATGTTGACTTCCTGCAGATTTTTGATATAAAAACTATCCTATGTCATTTCCCGAGTTCCTAACTATATCGAATCAAATTTATTTGTAAAACATAGGTATTAATTACATCATGGTGTTGGGTAAACAATATTTGGTCGCTATGTTTAGCCGCGTAGGCGTACAAATTTTTTACATGATAATTAAAATAAAACTATAGAACTAAAAACGTTTAATTAATTAAATAAGTACTTAAAAAAAAAAAAACAAAAAACTATGTTTAACAAAAAAATAAAAATTAAGAAACACAAATAGGTAGGTAGGTACAGCAGTCTTATTTTATCTCAAATCTCAATATTGCACACAAAATATACAAAAATATCATTAATAAATTCTTCAACTGTATAATAACACTTATCAATTAACAGTTAGTACAGGGATTTCTTTAATTTCAATAGAGGCATGTTTTTTATTTCGTCAGGTATTTTATTGTTAATTTCATTTATCGGTACCAAGTATGACAGAAATCGATTCAGTAGTTTAGGCGGTACAGGCAGTACCGACTATTGAAGTCAGCTTTAAAACATATTTTTTTTATTCACAATTAATTTAGTTTACTCACCCAATTTGAATCTACCCAGATAATAAATCTGGAATGTCATCACTAGGCAGGTGACGAGGTGGAGGACCGTGAACGCTATCCAGAAGTAGAAGTTTGCGTTCAAAACTCCGACCAGACCTGGAACAATACCACATATAACCTGCGTGCCGTGTGAGTGAGGTTACCGGAGGCCCAATCCTTCCCCTTCCCCAATCCCTCCTCAATCCCTAAATCTCCAAATCCCTAATCCCTAAAAGGTCGGCAACGCACTCGTAACTCCTCCGTTGCGAGTGTCCATGGGCGGCGCTGATTGCTTACCATCAGGTAATCCGTCTGCTCGTTTGCCGACCTATTACATAAAAAAAAAAACAAATAACCTGATGGTAAGCAATCAGCGCCACCCATGGACACTAGTAATAGCTAAGGAGTTTTTTGTTTATTAGTATATTTCGCGAGAAATACTAAATTAGTATATTTTTTTTAAATAAAACTTTGCCCCTCATTGGGATTTTCTCCAGTGTCCTGGGTGCGTGTATAAACATACAGTTCCACATGCACATCACACCCAGACCCGGAACAACAATTTGTGGATCACACAGAGTTGTCAAAAAAAAAGTCAAAAATCATTTATTTCAATTAGACCACAGTAGGCACTTTTGAACGTCAAGCAAGGCAAGGTTGTTCCGTGCGGGAATCGAACCCACGACACGTAGCACGGCAGCCAGTTGCCCAGCCACCGCGCCAACCGTGCCGTGATAAAACGTAGCCTATATCCTATTCCCTAGCCCTATGCCTGTTCCAAATTTAATCCAGATCCGTCCAGTCGTTTTGGCGTAATTGAGGAACAAACATTTAATTAGAATTGGCCGACTCAACCTGGCGTTATACCACAACCTCGAAGAAACACTGGCGTGAAACAAAGGTTGCGTTTTGTTATGCCGTGTGAATGATAGCAGTGTTAACTTTACCCTTCCTCCTTTTGGGAAAAAAGGTCGGTAACGAATTAATAACTCCTTTAGAGTTAGGGGTCTCCATAAAAGGCGATAATTGCTTACCATCAGGTAATAAAGTTTGTTTGAAGTTCAAAAGTGCCTGTAAGGGTCTAATTGGAATAAATGTGGGTGAGATTTAAGTGTGGGAGAGCCAAGCTTCGGCACGAATGGGTCGGCTTGACCGGAGTGATACCACGGCCTCACAGAGTACCGGCGTGAAACAACTTACAGCGTTGTGTTTCGCCGTGTGAGTGAGGTTACCGGAGGCTATCCCCAAAAGGCCGGCAACGCACTCCTTTGGTGTTGCGGGTGTCCATGGGCGGCGTCGATTGCTTACCATCAGGTTATCCGTATGCTCGTTTGCCAACATAAACCATAAAAAATGATTTTTGACTTTTTTATGCCATAATAAAGAGAACTCACCAATAAATATGATAAGAGCGAGTACTCCGAAGGTGGCATGCGCACGCGCATTGATGTCCGGATGTCGCGATTGGTAGATCTTCACCATGCACAGCACTGATGTTACGTACATAAACGATGTGTCTGTGAACAAACATACATAAAGATATATATTATAAACAAATAAATTAATTAAACATTTAAAATACACCGGATAATAGAAATGTCACAAAAAAACCGCGTTGGGAGACCGCTCCAAATTTTTATTTTTTACCGTCCCCCACCGCAACGTATTTTTGTATTATTATTTTTTTACTTTTTAAAGCGATCTTTGGTTTTTTGTCGGGGGTTTATTAAATATTTAATTAATTTTTTGTATTTTATACTTTTTGTAGGTCTTAAATATTTTTTTTATATTAAAGGTTAAGGTATCGATTGGTACATGCCAGGTTTCGACCCCGCACCCTTATGCATGAGAAGCGGGCTTACCTACAGGGCCACCATAATAGTGTTATACTTACCGAATTGGAAGTTCATGCTGTTTGGGCAGACGTGGTATGCAGCGGAGAGTAGGCCTTCGCTCACTAGCGCTATGCCCATAGCGTAAAGAAGGCCAAAATGCTGTGGTATACCCAGCTCCTTCTGAAAATAATTATACAAGGAAACTAATTTATCGCTCGGCTCGATTTGATCGTAGCGTGATGTTTTATAGCCTATAGCACTCAGGAACATTTTAGCTATGTATCAGTGAAAGAATTTTGGCAATCTGACCAGCGGTTCCAAAGATTACCCCCCTACATACAAACTTACAAACATGCAAACTAACAAATGTTACCTGTTTATAATATTAGTATAGATACCATCAGGTAATCCGTCTACTCGTTTGCCGTCCTATGACAAACAAACTGCTATCATCTTCATAATCATTATCATCATCAGCCCTTGTGCCCATTGCTGAGCAAAAGCCTCTTCTCACACGGAGAAGGTTTGAGCATTAATCACCACGCGTGCTCAATGCGGGTTGGCGATTTCAAACTTATAATTAGAAATTATAAGTCCAGGTTTCCTCACGATGTTTGCCTTCACCGTATGTCAGTGGTGTCTAAATAATCATAGAAAGTACATATAACTCGGAAAAAGTCACATTGGCACTTGCCAGGTTTCGAACCTCATCCACGAGAAGCGGGCTCCTTAACCTTCGGCCAGCTCCAGCAACCAGCTCAAATATTTCTTAGTCGGGTTTAATACACCCACGGGAAGAGTGACGCTAGTGGATGGTGATTCAACTTACCTGTGCAGCTGTTTTGTTTTGATGTGTATTATGTCTCCGCCATACTTGGGCTAAGAAAAGCAGGCCTAATAGCACATATCCCAGGTTCGAATATACGTGGTTGAAATCGGAAAGGACCAGTAACGGATGAGCGCATAAGAAGTTAAAATAGCACAAATCCTGGTTTCCAGATTGATTCAGAAGCTGTAAGTAAAAAAATATTAAAAATTAGGTTAATATTCCAATTGGGTAGTTTCCTAGGTCAATAATAAATTAATTCGACGTTTCAATACAATAAAATATTGAAAAATAACTATACTTTTATTCATCGATCGATCGATACATTTACGCCCGGTTTCCGAAAGCCCGATCAATGTTAAAATCAACTAACTAGGTGTTAAATCTCTTGTCAAGTCATCTGATTGGTTGTTGATAATTCAGTCAACCAATCACTATTGATTTTAACATTGATCGGCCTTTCGGAAACCGGTTGTAAGTTTTAGATTTTTTTTTAGCTATTTATTAAGAAATAAGTAAGCTATTTGACGCAAAAATACTATGACGTCAAAAGTCAGTTTTTCATACAAACTTCATAGAAAAGTATCGTTTTTGACATTTGGATAAAAGTATTGAATTTGACTAGTTGGAAACTGCCGTATTATAGGTATTAAAAGGGCAATACCTAATCTAGCCAAACCTTATATATCATAACTTTATTTTACACTATTAGCGATCTGTATCTATATTTGTATACTGTATTATAAATGCGAAAGTAACTCTATCAAGTTATAGCTCAAACTTTGAACACAATAGCAACCAAATTTATTTTCATTTATGCAAGATAATAAAATTTCGAGCAAGCTCGCTAACTTTCGGGGCATATCGGAACCTATAACTACATATAATAAACTACACATTTTTCCTAATTTCTTACCCGTTGGTATGTGACGACGAGTTGTATGACTGGCAGAGTGTAGAACACAGCTACCGTCAGGACATTCCACAGATACATCTTGGAGCGAGCCGAGAGGACGCGGGGGCGACATCTGGTGGATAGAGGCAGACATTAATGTAATAATCCTACTTCGCCAATCCCCGAATCACCATAACCCTTATCCCCAAAAGGCTGATTTTGGGGATAAGGATATTGAAGATTCTTGGAACTTCTCTGGTGTTGCGGGGTGCCCTCATCATCAGCCTATTGCTGAACAAAGAACTCTTCTCACACGGAGAAGGTTTGAGAATTAACCACCACGCTTGCTCAAGACCGGTTAGTGATTTCAAACTTATAATTAGAAATTAGAAATTTAGGTTTCCTCACGATGTTTACCTTCACTGTATGTCTGTGGTGTCTAAATAAGCATAGAAAGTACATATAACTTGGAAAAAATCACATTGGTTGCCAGGTTTAAAAAAACATTTTTTTAAAAACAGAACTAATTATTTTTACCGACTTCAAAAAAAGGAGGAGGTACTATGTTCGGCTGGTTGTTTTTTTTTTATATTTTCACCGATTACTCCGCCATTTATGAACCGATTTCGAAAATTCTTGTTTTGTTTTTTATGTGTGTATCACAGTGCTTTTTTACACTTATTACTCTACATGAAATATTGCAATTAAATGAATTTGAATCTAAAAATGACTAGAAATAAGGTGTAAACTCACCTAGCCAGGTTGGCGACGCAGAGTTTTCCTCCAAGTCTATATATATCCTTGTCCGTGTTAACATCATCTAGCGTTGAAAAGTCAGATTCTGTGTCCGACGACGAGCTGCCATCTGGTGGGAGAAATATGAACAAAAATAGTATAAATATTAATTTTTGGCTCGACACACGTTAAATATTTTTATTATAACTTTCGTGAGACATTCTAAATTAATTATTATGTTTTCGAGAGAGACGAGATACTCGACTAGTTTCAAGCCATGCTAGAGGCCCATATTCATGAGCAGCATTCCTCCTCTAGCATGGCTTGAAACTAGTCGAGTATCTCGTCAAATTATTAGGGGAGTAAGCCGAAAACTTAATAATTAACAGACGCGACGTTAATTGCTATTTTTCGTGTGATATGACGGTTAACGAGCTGATGGATTATCTGATGGTAAGCAATCAGCGCTATCCATGGGCACCCGTAATACCAAAGGGATTACGAGTATGTTGCCGGCCTTTTGTGGATTAGGGTCTCGGGTATTTAGGTATTAGGGGATAGGAGGAAGAATTGGGCCTCCGGTAACATCACTCACACGGCGAAAAACAACGCTGTGGTTGATATCACGCCGGTTTTCTGTGAGGCCGTGGTATCACTCCGCGTTATCTTACTAGGTACTCGCACTTCACCGATGCTTACTTCTAGGTTCAAGTTCCTCTTAACTTTTTTTAATTACTTAATGACCATACATCGTCATCATCATCATCAGCCGGAAGACGTCCACTGCTGGACAAAGGTCTACCCCTTAGCCCTCCACGTCGAACGACAAGTTGCCACCTGCATCTATTGGCTCCCCGCGACTCTGACGATGTCGTCGGTCCACCTAGCTGGAGGCCACGCTACGTTTTCCGGTCCTTGGTACTTATGGGGCGACATGGCTTCCATACATACAATTATATTAGACTAGCTACTCACACGCGGTTTCACTCGCTGCTCGGCTCCAGTTAATCGTAGCGTGATGTTTTAAAGCCTATTGCACTCGGAGCATTCTAGCTATCAATTAGTGAAAGAATTTTGGTGAAAGAAATTCACTACCTATACTTATATTATAAAGAGGTAAAATTTGTAAGTTTGTATGTAGGGGGTTATCTATGGAACCGCTGGTCGGATTGCCAGAATTCTTTCACTGATAGATAGCTACAATGTTCCTGAGTGCTATAGGCTATAAAACATCACGCTACGATTAAATAGAGCCGAGCAGCGGGTGAAACCGCGCGAGAATAGCTAGTTATTATTAAAATGGCCACTATACCTGTACGCGTGGAATTAAATATATCTCCTTCGCCGACGAGACATTGTCGCGAGGTGCTCTCTCCGCTTGTCTCCGCAACGTTGACGTGTCGCCGTCGCGTCGTCGCCACGTTCACAATGTTTTCATCATCATGGGGTACTATTGGGGGGGTCAGACGGCCTTCTGTGGAAGGGATAGATATAGAAATCAAATTAAAATTCATTTAGACTATAATACGTATAATGCTTCTCATACATGGGAGGATCTGAAACTTGGCAAGTACCAATGCGACTTTTTCCGAGTTATACATTCAGTCAACAAAGTATCGGGAATGAATGTTTTTTTTATGGTTCCAAATTCGAATTTTAATTTTTTTTGTTGTTGTTAGATTGGCATAACTGTTTTCCATTTTGGCACAGTTTTGTGTCTCTACATGTAACAAGATATGTTTTATTTTATAAAATAATGTTTAATTGTAATTATTGCACATTACAATGAACGTAAATCTATTGATGTATAATATTTCTAGGTTTTAACTTTGTGTATTAGTTTGATAAGTTTCGTTGTATATATTTTTACTAAAACAAATAAAATCACTTGTTTAAAAATAATATACCTATATATTATTTTTTTATTGTTTGTGTCTTAAATTTAAACTATATGATTATATACTACACACTTTAACTCATAAAGCAAAGGCTTTTAGAATATTTAATAGTTAACCAAAAATAATAAAAATAAATTGCCCAACTCAGACATCTATCTTTTTCTTCTTCTTCTAAATATATTAACCTCAAAGGTGACTGATATAGTGATTTATCAACGCGCAGCCCAAACCACTGGACGGATCGGACTGAAATTTAGCATTCAGGTAGATGTTATGACGTAGGCATCCACATAGAAAGAAAATTGTAAACTGTATTTATACCATGAATCAAATCCTATATATAGTATGTACTTTCTATGATTCTTTAGACACCACTGACATACGGTGAAGGTACACGTCGTGAGGAAACCTGGACTTATAATTTCTAATTATAAGTTGTAGAGCAATCGTGGTGATTAATTCTGAAACCTTCTCCGTTTGAGAAAAGATCTTTGCTCAGCAGCGGGCACTTATAGGCTGATGATGTGGCAATTTGATGTGGAATACTTTTGAACGTCAAAAATAATTAAAAAATAAGAAGTTAAAATGTCAGTCTGTCCGTCTGTCCTCTAGTGAAGCTATTTGCTCGTTCCAAAGTGTAAATTCCTATGGGGAAGAACGAGCAAGAAACTCCATGGTTACTCTTTCTCAATCATTTTCACAAATTAATTACGTTTACTTATAGCAAAAAAAATATATTTTGTTTTACAGATATACATATAAGTAATATGTAATTAATAGGGTCTGTTTGTAATATTAGATTAATATTGGATCTATATGGTACACACACAAAAATAACACTTTTTACAATTTTTGTATGTCTGTCTGTTTGTTTGTTTTGGCTAATCTTAAGAACAGCTAGACCGATTTTGACTGGAATTTTATTGGTAGATAACTCATATAATAAAGAGTAATTTATTCTACATTCATTTAACATAGTGTGATAGCGCGATAGACAGCGATAATTAACGGGAACGAAGTCGTGGATATAAGTTAGTACTTACATTAATAAAATTGTATGGAATCGGAACGAGTTCGAGTTTACAAGACGAAAAATCAAAAAGGGGCGGGGCATAACAATTCAAATATAACAACTTACCTTCTTCACTGAGTTCGGTAGACCGCTGTATCCTCTTCCGACACACAACGGCTATGATAAAGGCTATATAGAAAGAGCCAAAAAAGGCTAAGGCGGCCCCAGCGGCTATAGCATACTCCTGGTACGATATAGTTTGTATTATTCTGAAACTGTTATAGAAATATTATTAAATAACATTCTGGTATATAAATGTGACGACATCCGCAGGGTGGCTGGCAGTGGTTGGATGAGAAGAGCTGAACATCGAGCTCAGTGGCGTGCAATTGGGGAGGCCTATGTCCAGCAGTGGACGACAACAGGCTGATAATGATGATATAAATGTAGACAACTAGCCATTAAACTGACAGCCTGAATCACTAGCCGCTTGATTGAATGGCCATTTATTCAAATTTTGCCTTTTGACCGCCACGGTAGACTATTGACGAGAACATAAAAAATAGAAATGTCGAGAAAATCAGATCAGACAACGTCATAATTAAGATTCTTAAGTGTGGAAGAGCCAAGCTTCGGCACGAATGGGTCGGCTCGACCGGAGTGATACCACGGCCGCATAGACAAGCGGCGTGAAACAACCACAGCGTTGTGTTTCGTTATGTGCCTGAGATTATTGGACACTCAATCCTTCTCCTCCCCAATCCCTAAATCTCTGAAACACTAATCTCCATCTCTAAAGGCACTAGTAAATCTAGTATTCGAATGTCCACAGGCCAGCTGTCTGCTTACCATCAGCTAATATGATTTTACAAATGTATTATACAAATACAACATAAAACATACTTACGACACCTATGGTACGGGTGTCCATGGGCGTATCCGATTGCTTACCATCAGGTAATCCGTCTACTCTTTTACCGACTGATCCTGTACAAAAATTACCAAATTTCTTGGCTAACTTTAAAAACAAAGAATGCTAACCTGAAATTCTTGACCCTGCCATCGTTGGTGACCACTTGGACCACCTCCTCCTGTGACCATCCGAGGTACTGCGCCACGTGTGGTAAGGTCGCATTCCCTCCTTTCTCTGTGCAATCCTCATCTGATGTTTTCACTATGAATACTATGTAAAAACCCACTGGGAATGTGTCTTGCTGAAATTAGGAAATATACATGTTAATGTTATGTAAAGAAAATTATATGAAACTAGCGGCCCGCCCCCGCTTCGCACGGGTCCAACTATCTCGCTATCAAAGGGTCACTTTTTCCTAATCTTCCCCTCTACTTTTCTAATATTTTCTTAGATGATAACCTTCTCCTTTTTTTATTATATTATTTGTTTTAATTTGACCCTCACAGGGACTTTTGGACATCAAACAAAGCTTAAAAATATAGTGTCAGTTTGTCGATCAGTCCTCTTAGTGAAGCTATTTGATTGTAACGAAAAAGAATGGAAAAAAAAGAAAAGAAAGAAAAAAAAAAGAAAAAAAAGAAAAAGTCACATCGCATACAGCCAGGTTATGGTCGAAAAAGTACATAGGTATCCTAAATCTAAGGCATTTTGAATGATGATCGTGCGAACCGCATTTAAAACAATATACCTAAACTAGCTACTCTCGCGCGGTTTCACCCGGTGCTCTGCTCCTATAGATCGTAGCGTGATTAGCCGGGGTTGCGGGGTAAGCGTAATAAGGCACCGCGACCGCGAGAGGGGTTTAGTCAGTAAGAATCTGACACTCCCTCCCGCCCGACCCTGGGCGGGAGAAGTCAGTGAAGGGATCCTCACAAAAAAAAGCGTGATGTTTTATAGCATATAGCCTTCTCGATAAATGGACTAACAAACAAAAAAAAGAATTGTTCAATTCGAACCAGCAGTTCCGGAGATTAGGGCGTTCAAACAAATAACTCTTCAGCTTTATAATATTATTATCAGCTTATATATAAAAATGGATCTCAAAATGTGTTGGTAAGCGCATAACTCAACAACGCCTGGACCAATCTTGCAAATTGTTTTTTTGTTATGTTTGTTATTGTCAGGAGAAGGTTCTTATCAAAGAAAATATTGGAAAAGTAGAGAGGAAAATTGGGAAAAAGTGACCCTTTGATATCGAGATAGTTGGACCTGACCGAAGCGGGGGCGGGCCGCTAGTAATAGTATAGATATATAGTAAAAATTACATACAATACGGTAGTTTCCAACTAGTCAAATTCAATACTTTTATCGAAATGTCAAAAACGATACTTTTCAATGTTTGTATGAAACACTGAGTTATGACGTCATAGTATTTATGCGTCGAAAAGTTTACTTATTTCTTAATAATTAGCAACAAAATATCTAAAACTTAGTGTATCGATCGATCGATGAATAAAAGTATATATTTTATTGTATTAAAACGTCGAATTAATTTATTTTTCACCTAGGAAACTACCAAATACTTACAGTCAAAGTGATCCCTCCTCTTCTTGTCATAGTCAAGTAATATCCATCATACAGTATATCCCTTTCGTTATCGAATACTGGACACTGTAATAAAATACATAAGTCTCAATTTTATATGCACAATTCAAAACATCACGACAAAATTTTAAAAAATACTTTTGCAACCATTCAACCGATTTTTATTTATATAATAACGGAAAAATGGCAATTGAATGTTTTTTCTTTAAGTTTCGGCACTAATGGGTCTGCTCGACCGGAGTGATACCACGGCTTTACAGAAAACCGGCGTGAAACAACCAGAGCGTTGTGTTTCGCCATGTAAGTGAGGTTACCGGAGGCCCAATCCCTCACTCCCATCTCTTCCCAATCTCTAAATCTCTCATAGAAAACCGGCGGGATCAACCACAGCGTTGTGTTTCGCCGTGTGAGTGAGATTACCGGAGGCCCAATCCCTGCCGCTCCCCCATTCCTAAATCTCCAAATCCTCAATCCCCAAAAGAACGACAACGCATTCATAACTCCTCTGTTGCGGGTTTCCATGGGCGGCGCTGATTGCTTACCATCAGGTAATCCTTCTACTCGTTTGCCCAACTATACCATATAAAATATAAAAACACTCACCGAAAAATTCTGTATAGAAACGACAGCGCATATGTCATCATCAGACTCAATCATGACGATTACACTTTTCGGTCTGGACATCCAACTCCTAGTTTCGAAATTGGACCTCAAAAGATATTTATGGAAACTTGAACCCTCATCCTCATCCATTTGGTTACACAAGTACTTTCTTTTAGCATGTTGGTAATTCAAATCTAAATTATTCGATTGGTCGAATGGGAAAAAATAATACATCGGTTGACTGGGAGTAATTGTTAGATTCGTGGTTGAATTCAACCTGACGAAAAAGTCTTGTACTGTTTCGACGAGAATCGTTACGTTTATGGAGTCCGGCGATGATGAAGTTAAGTGTATTATTGGAGTGTTAAGCGTTGATACGTCTGAAAGAGAAAAATATATATTTCACTCTCTTCATATGTAAAAGCCGAGGCGATCTTGGATTTTCTTGCTCGTTGCAGAAATCATATGGAGAAGATTATTTTAAGATTTCATTGGTCTATTTGAAATATATATATAATAATATGATTTGACTTTAAATAGACTATTTGAGAGTAACCATAACCATGGAGTTTCTTGCTCGTTCTTCTCCATAGGAATCTACACTTTGGAACGAGCAACTAGCTTCACTAGAAGACAGACTAACACTTTTTTAAATAAATAAATGACTTGACTTTGCAATAAAAAAATATCACTAATTGTTTCATCGGTTTTGCATTTTATTCCAAAGATGGTGCTGGTTATACATGAGGTACTATTGAGGCTACCGTTTTTGTCGCTAGATGGCGCTAATATGTAGCTCTTGTGTTTTCCGCCAATAGCGAATAAGAATGTGACATCATTGGTCGTTAAAATGTTGACGGCTAACCGTGATTGGTCAACTTATTTCTTGTTAGATTAGCGACATCTAGCGAGGAAAAAAACAGTTAGCTTCTATTTGGGATTAATAGTTGTTTTTAAGTCAAATTCTATACTTTTTTTAATATGCGGGAATTGAACCCAATCAATACCACCTCAGAAGTTTCCGTTGCGATCTCAACTACCAAGATTGTCTTATCAAGACAAAATTTGTTTATGTTTAAAGAACTTATTCTCCTAAACAGCTGGAAAAACATTGATGATATTTTGTATGCACATATGCATGCGGGTGTACCCTATAGGGTAATTTGGATAAGTCTTGATTATAAAAAGTTCCGTTAGATGGCGTTGTAATCAAATATAGAACTATCAAAATTTAAATATAATTATCTTCTACCTTAATATAAATATATAAAAATATGAGTTATAAATTATATATATTTACGTATAAGTGGCCCACAGTAGACTCTAATCCGTTTCCCATCGACTAAGTCAGCGTGAACAAAAAGAGAAGTCAAAATTATACAGGGAGTCGACTAAGTCGGAAATGTCGGAAAAGTCGGATGAGTCGTAAAAGTCGTAAGACTAAACATTATATTTAAAAAAACGGGGCGTTAGTTTTGAATTGTATGTCCTATTTTGAAATTGTTAAACCTACTGGAAAAATAAATAAATAAAATTTAATAGGAAGGAAATAATAAGCATAAACTCATACGAGCACGCTCACACACACACACGCCATATACACACATGCACGTCGTTAAGGGCAATTTACTCTGAGACGCGACTCAACCATACTCAGGAGAGTGACGCAACCGCCGCTAGACGGATCGCATGCAATATGTATCTTATCATGCAGAAAATAAAGTCGTTCTTTTACAGTGTGCCCTTCTCATTGCATTTGTGCATAAAAGATTCAACCATGCATGCATACGTACACGTTTTTACTTCATACCAAACCGATTCGTCACTGTCCCTACCAGTAGACTCACACAAAATACGTACCCAAAATGAAAGAACTCATAAAATAGTTTTGCAAACTTTTCAAAACCACTCAATTTGAACTAGAGACAAAAATAGACAAGCTTCTGGAAACATACTTCGTTCTTTAAACACAGGTACAACTCACCACAAGTGTCTTCATCCTCGGTAAACATATTGTTGTGGGGGCAGAGAGTCCGGGATATGTTCGTGAACTGTTCCAGACTGACCGGCGTCTGTACTATCATTGGCAGTTGCCATGAGAATACTCCTGGAATTATAAACAAGAAAATGTTTCGTTAAACCGGTTCTTTGGCAGCAAAAAGCCTCTTCTAACGCTTTTTCAGGGAAATCACAGTTAATAATTCAATACCCAATCCTAACCTTAGGAGGGCATCGCACTCGTAACTACTCGGGATCTCGCAGGTGTCCATGGGCGGCGCTGTTTGCTTACCATCGGGTAATCCGTCTGCTCGTTTGCCGACCTATCGCATAAAAACGCACACACTGCTCATGAATATAGGAACCCTTTTGAAACTATTAGCGGTTTTGTCGGTTAATTTACTTCCTTAAGTCATTATATTATTATTATTTAAGTGTGCGAGAGCCATGCTTCGGCACGAATGAGTCGGCTCGACCGGAGGGATACCACGGCCTCACAGAAAACCGGCGTGAAACAACCACAGCGTTGTGTTTCGCTGTGTGAGTGAGGTTACCGGAGGCCCTATACTCCCCTTCCCCCATCCCTTCCCAATCCTTAAATATCCGAAACCTTTATCCCTAAAAGGCCGGCAACGCACTCGTAACTCCTCCGTTGCGAGTGTCCATGGGCGGCGCTGTTTGCTTACCATCAGGTAATCCGTCTGCTCGTTTGCCGACCTATTGCATTAAAAAAATATCATCGTTTTCAAACTAGGGAGTGAGAAGCTTTTATTGACTGCTGAATATCAGGCCTAGTAAGCCCTCATCTGTTGTCGTAACTCTTTGAGGTGAGCGCGGTACCGGACGCGACCTGAGTTTGATGTTTTGTTTAGACAAAATGTTTGAGTTTAAACATTTTATCTTCGCGGGTTTTATGGCGAGGTACAAGCACATTTTTTTTTCTATTCGAGCAGACGGATCATCTGTGATGCGAACGGCTATTTTTATAACCTCCTTTTTTAAAATAATTTATAAATTTCTAAAATAATTACCGATAAGTTCTCACTCACCTAGTTATTTACCATTTGTTTAAGTTTGCAGAGCCCATTGCCATATATTAATATTGGCAGAATTTTATAACACAACAACAAAATACCTTGGGAAGCCAACGAGAGCAAGCTATTTCACATGAGAAATAAACCTACCTTTCTGTTGTCTGGCAGTTATGAACAATGGATATGTCTTGTTTGCGAAGTCGCTTGCTACGGTCACTCTCGCCGGAGTATCGTATGTTTCCATTTCCTGGAACGAAATGAGAAAAGTTTAGAACAACGCCATCTATCGGCGACTAACACCCGGTTTCCGAAAGGTCGATCAATGTTAAAATCAATTTAATCTCTTGTCAAGTCATGTGATTGGTTGACTGAATTATCAACAACCAATCAGATGACAAGAGATTTGACACCTAGTTAGTTGTCTTTAACATTGATCGGTGCCATAAAGAAAAATAAAAAAATTATTATTAAAAAAACAAAATACCCGACTGCACACTAAAAAAAGAGTAAAACAAGCCCCACAATACAAATTTACTGAATATAATTTATAAATGTTGATGGAAAGCATCGCAGGCGGGGACCAACAGAGGCTTATTTATAGTCATTTCTGTTGTGCACCATTTAGCAGAATTTTCGTTGGTGGCGGTCAAGGTGGTCCCCGCCTGCGATGCTTTCCATCAACATTTATAAATTATATTCAGTAAATTTGTATTGTGGGGCTTGTTTTACTCTTTTTTTAGTGTGCAGTCGGGTATTTTGTTTTTTTAATAATAATTTTTTTATTTATAACTTTTTAGCTGTTTTTATTTAACGAAAATGTTGTAGATGTAGAAGACTATGTACATTCGGGCTGTATACTCGAGCATATCCCCCTCCGCACCGCGCCGCGCGCCGCATGCCAGGCCACGCCCTATCTTTTTGCTTGCTAACGCATGAGTTGCTTTGCGTTGACGCAGAATTAACATGTTCCCGTGGGAATTTTGAGAAAAAACGTATCCTATATTAATTACTCCCGTGATTGAAATGAATCTAATGATACCGCATACATATTTTTTTAAAGGGAAATTTAGAAAAAATATTATTATGTCTTTATCCCGTGGGACTTTTAGGATAAAATGTATCCTATGACACTCCCGTAATCAAGACAAATCTAACGATACCTCATACATCAAAATCCATCAAGCCGTTTAGGCTACAGGAGGTCACAAAGGAAAAGACATACATACATACTTACATACACTCGAAAAACATTACCCTCCTTCTTTGGCAGTCGGGTAAAAAAGGCATTGATCGGGCTTTCGGAAACCGGGCATTAATGTTTGAGAGTTTAGTTTTTTTTTTATTTCCATACGAATTGTTTTCTTATGTAAATGATAATAAATAATAATGATAATTCTAATAAAAAGTAAAAAATAGTATATTTTTTATACACAATTTACTGTTTTTAATTTATAAAGCATCTTTATTGGTTATTTTTATTAAAAATGGTAATAGTATGTATAGATTACAACTTACCCCTCCAAACTCCAATATGTATTCTGTGCTCTTATTAACAGCCACCGTGTATGGAACATCATATTTATATCTGTAACAAATAATACAATATGTTTATCCGTATTATCAATGCTCTAACCTTCTCCGTTTGAGAAGAGGCCTTTGCTCAGCAGTGGGCACTTATAGGCTGATGTTGATGATGTATCAATAGCGGTCAGGGGTGAGGGGCCATAGTAGGTATATTTTTATGGAATAGGAGGCAAAAGCAGACGGATCCCCTGATGATATGTGATCAGCGCCGTCCATGAATACCTGCAACACCAGAGAAGGAACAGTTTCTTGAAGGTTTGAAGGTCGTATAGGTTCGGAAATACCGCTGCAGAAAGACCACTCCAAAGTTTTGCTGTGCGAGGCAGAAAGTTTCGCGAACCGCACACCAACCATCTATATATGTATATATGTTTATTTTTTAAGTAATGCGTCGGCAAACGAGCATGCGCATTACCTGATGGTAAGCAATCAGCGCCGCCAATGGACACTCCCAACAACAGAGGAGTTACGGGTGCATTTCCGACCTTTTTGGATAAGGGATTTGGCGATTTAGGGATCTCCGGAATCTCCGGTAACCTTACGCAGAGAAACACAAGGCCGTGGTTGTTTCACGCGATGTTCTGTGAGGCCGTGGTATCAGTCCGGTCGAGCCGACCCATTCGTGCCGAAGCATGGCTCTCCCACTCTTAAACACTCTCCTACACACATATGATGGGAATTATAATGTTTTCGCGTGGCTCGATGGCCAGCTACACCCATAGCCATATAATTTTCTACCATATTGCATAATAGTTCTGCGTCAACCGGGGATTATTAGTGCATAAAGGGACAATATAATAATTGGCTGATGTATATATCATTTCATGATGGAGCGTTGGCCCAGGGTGACAAATTCTGGGGAGCGCCAAGGTCTGAAGTTGGAGTCTCTTGCAACCCTCAGAACTGTGCTCTACGCTCTGTGCATATGCATATTTTTAGATGAATTTTTTGAGGGTTTGTGGTCGAGGAGTGACTCTAACGATATCAATACGATCAGCAAAATAACTAACACTTGATATTGCTTCCCTTAATTAGGCACCACAATATTTTTGCCTTTAGGCACTGACCAGGCAATCAAAATGTCGGTGCTGGCACTGTCACTAATATCAAAGTTGTTCAAAGATCCAAGTGTGGGGCTTCGGCCACTTGTACACCTTCTAAAGGTTCCCAGGTATATCTCCATAACACAACCTCGCTTTCCTTCAAAGTCGGTTAAAACATCTTTAGATACAGTCAACGTAGTGTGTAGACGGCCTAATATGGTAGAAAATGAAAATAAGGGGGTAGATGAAGATTCATCGCCCGAATGCAGGGAGCTGTGACATCGCATCGTCAGGCTAAGAACTCACGGAGCGATTTTGAACCGTGCCCGCCGCGGTAGCGGAACTGCGGTTTTATTTCCAAACTCACGAGACCGGTTATTTGCGCGGTTACACAGCCGCCGCGGTTGCGATCATCGCCCGCAAACGTGGCGGGCGATGATCGCAAGATTGCAAGACGGGCGGTTAACGATCAGTTGAGGTCCAGACCGCCATGGACACACACCAGAAACGAGCCGTTGCGTTATATTTACTTCACAGAAGACCCGCCGGCCCCCGCGGTCGCTCGCCAACCGATCGCAAAGCGCGCGGGTACCACCCGCCGAGGCTGCGGGTAACCGTGGCCCGCGCGATTCTACTAGTTGCCCGCCAGTACAGCGGGAGCCGCATACAACCGCGTACACCGCGGGCGTAAAACGCGTCGTGAAATGTGCTTTAATTTTTTATATAAATATTTGAATTCTACAGAAGCTGCGGGCCCGCAACCGCAGCGGACGCGGGCGAAAATCGCTCCGTGAGTTCTTAGCCTCAGTCTGCTTGCGACCACGACCTGTGCAACCAAGTCGAAACGTCAAGCCTACCAAGGTATTTAAATATGTAATTACTTTTCGCGAAAGTTTAAAAGTTAATACTTTGGAGTTAGTAGATTATGGATTCTATTCTAATTAACCTGACTATAAACCCTTGAATCTTTCTGTCAGTTTGAATGTAGTATTATTATTTATTTTATTTATTGGTTGATGAGGAAACTTTAGATGTATAATAAGGTTTACGGACGAAATTGCGGATAGGATACGGTAGTTTCCAACTAGTCAAATTCAATACTTTTATCCAAACGTCAAAAACGATACTTTTCTATGAAATTTGTATGAAAAACTGAGCTATGACGTCATAACATTTTTGCGTCAAATAGCTTACTATAATTAGCTAAAAGCTATTTCACAATAATTAGCTAAAAAAATCTAAAACTTGGTGTATCGATCGATCGATGAATAAAAGTATAGTTATTTTTCAATATTTTATGTTATTGAAACATCGAATTAATTTATTTTTGACCTAGGAAACTACCCAATTCTAGTTATAAAATGCATGTATAATACTAGTTTCCACTGTCGTAATTTTAAAAGATTTACTTTAAGAAGCCCGTTATGTACACAACTATGATTCACTATACATTTTCTAGATAAATACAATAAAAATATTGTTATCTATGAAGTATATAGTCATTGGCCTCTTTATTTACTGATTACCGATTTAATTTATTTACTCATTTATTACTTTTTGATAATTATTTCCTTTTAAGATTGTTATTACACGATGTTGTGTAGTGATAGCCCAGTATAATACAGGGTGTAAAAAGACACTTAACGAAACCGTTAACTACGCATACTGCAGTTCTAACTAAGTAGCTTTACGCTAAAATTATCACTGGGATTTTTAGGTATCAAAAAAAATAATAATTTTATTGCGCGCAATGTAAAGCAAACGGACTTCTTGTCATTGTGTGCGTAGGTTCACAGCTTAGCATGAAAACGCTGTGATAAGTACGTAGGTCGACGTTTTACTTCGCAACAATAAAACAATTCTGTAAAATAAAAATCCTACTGCGATGCACGATGTTTTTGTGCGGGTCTGCATTTATTTATTACGTACATTACTGTTTGTAACTTCAAATGCGTAATTTATCGTTAAAATCGAAAATTCAGGTAATGTTTGTTTGGAAAAAAGTTTTGTAATAATACTTGGAATTCGATTGCGCAAAAAAAAGAAAATTAAAAATGCATCTTTGACCTTCAATATCTCGAGAACCAGCTATGGTGTTAAAGAAAAAAATGATCCAAATAATGGGTAGAATACGTGGCTTTCGGCTTCGTTAAGTGTCTTTTTACACCCTGTATAGTGACTACTCTCACGTGGTTCGAGTAAGGGTATCTTGTCGTCCGACCAGAACCAGACCTACGTACGGCGCGTAGCGTTCCGCGCGCCTCAAAGAGCCAATAGACCACCACAGACGGGGCCATATAGGGCTGATGTTCAGTCGCTGCGGGGTAAGCGCAATGAGGCACCGCGACCTCGGCCCAGAGCAGGAGATGGAACGCGAGATGTTTTCAGTCAGTAAGAGTATGACACTCCTTCCCGTCCGACCCTGGGCGGGAGAAGTTATATGATGATTTTCCCCTCACAAAAAAAATCTCTGAGTTGGTTTCATCCACTGCTCGGCTCCTACAAATCGTAGCGCGATGTTTTATAGCCTATATCCTTCCTCGATAAATGGACTAGTGAACACAAAACAATTGTTCAATTCGAACTAGCAGTTCCATAGATAAGTGCATTTAAACAAACAAACAAACTACAGCTTTATAATTACTACACTACACAGTACAAAACAAACTCGCTTTCTCTGTCCCTAAGTATATCTCTATGTATGCTTAAATATTTAAAACTACGCAACGAGTTTAAATGCGCCCTTTTTTTAAATAGATAGAGTAATTGAAGAGGAAGGTTTATGTGTATAATAAGATCAATTAAAGAGGAATTTTATAACAGTATTGCACTCGTGCAAAGCTGAGGTGGGTCGCTTATATTAGTATAGTTTTTTCGACATTCCTCCCATTCTCTGGTGACATTAGCTGTCTCCGGCAACCGTACGTGGGGGTACACGTTCGACGAGCAAAGGTAACTCCAGAAGCTCGACCAGAAGCAAGCAGAATGCTTAGTACATGTTCGTAATACGTATACAATCGACATGTTTACAACGTTCGGCGTTCTGATTGGCTCGCTCTAAGTTAACCAACCAATCAGGACGCTATACACGGTAACCTCAAAAACATACATTACGAGCGTACGGCGAGTTATGACCCGAGCGTACGGCGAGTCATAACCCGAACGTACAGCGAGTCATGACCCGAGCGTATAGCGCGTAATGACCCGAGCGTATAACGTGTTGTGACCCGCGTGGTGACCCGTACCCAACCAAACGTACGACGGGTTACGATCCGAGCATACGACGTATTGGGAACCAAATCAAATTATTTGTGAACACAGGTAATACATAAGCGTATTAAAATATACATTAATAGCATCTCCATGTTCTACCAATAAAATTGGTGTACAAATAGTTTTTAAGTTGGGCAAGTAGCAATCATTATTAATAAATTTAAATAAGTATAAAAGAATCATTATAGTATGTCAAAATTTATCATTTAAAAATAGGTCAATAGAATAATATGTCTTCTCAATTAAAAATAATGTCAGTTTTCGTTTAAAAAGTCGAATATTATTTTCGTTTTTTATACGTTTAGGCAGTTTATTATGAATTTTTGGAGCCATTGCAAAGATACTGTTCATAGTGCAGTTCTAGATTTTAATAAATGTAACTGATCACAACGACGTTGACTGGTTACTCGGTCAAAATGATTAAAATTATTTTTGACAAACATAGCAGTTTCATAGATGTATAATGAGGGGACCGTCAAAATTTTGAGGTTTTTAAAGAAAGTGTAGCACGCGTATGACACGTCGCTACTTAAGCGTACGGCACATCGCGACCTGTGTGTTTTAACGCGTTGCGACCCAAGCGTACGGCACATCGCTACCCGAGTGTACAGCACATTGCGACTCAAGCGAACGGCGCGTCACGACCCGAGCTTACGGCGCGTTGCTACACGAGCGTACGGCGCGTTGCTACTCGAGCGTAGTACGCATCGCGACCTGAGCTTACAACGTATTGCAACCCGAGCGTCCGATGTGTTGCGACCCAGGCGTAGGGCGCGTTGCTAATCGAGCGTACTACGCATCGCGATCCGAGCGTATGACGTATTGCCAACCAAGCGTACGGCACATTGCAACCCAAGTGTACGGCGCGTCGCGACCCAAGCGTTCTAAGCGTCGCAGCGACCCGAGCGTACGATGTGTTAGAACCCGGGCAAACGGCGCGTTGCGATCGAAGAGTTTGGAACATCGCGAACATGCGAGTAAAGCGTACGGAGCGTTGCGACCCGGGCGTATGGCACATAACAACACGAGTGTACTAACAATCCGAAATTGGTCTTTAGGAGTTGTCCAGAGGTCCAATCCTTCCCCTCCCCCAATCCTTAGTCCCCAAATTCCTAAAACCAAAAAGGCCAGGAACACATTCGTAATCTTTTTGGTGTTGCGTGTGTCCATGGATGGCGCTGATTGCTTACCATCAGATAATTCACATGCTCATTTGACATCCTATCACATAAAAGTGAGTGCATAAGGTCATTTCTTTTTAGAATGTAGACAATGTAATACCTACTCATCACAAGCATTATGAGTTCTATATGTGAGCATAAGATAAGCCTATTGCTATTTACCAAGTACAATTAAATTGCAGATTCCACACTGAGCATTTTCAGAACCCTTAAATCTTTTATTTTGACCGTACAGTTTATGCGGAGCTTAGGTTTTTATCTGCCGTAATGTAGCAGGTTTGTTTCTTAGAAATTGTTGTTCCGGGGCTGGGTGTAATGTGTATGTTAAATTGTATGTTTGTTAACAACCCAGAACATACCTAGGTGAAAATCAAATAGAACAATATTTAAAAAAGGAATGCGAGATAAAACAGTTTTTTTACAGAAAAAAAAATTAAATTTTCTCCTATCATATTCATAGACATTATAAATGATTAGGTACTCAAATAAAATTATTCCTTAGTAACAATTTTGTTCTGAAAACAATAACTACGGACTGGATTAAGTAACCATAAAATGATGCTAAGTACAGCAGTATAATAGCTAACAACAAATCAAATTTCTTAATTAGCTGCCTGATTGTAAACAGGTCAAATTAACATTTAATTAGAAATAGATGAATCATTTAGAAAAAGATTTTGTTATCAGTGATATCTAAATAAATCATTTATTTCACTATGTTTCCTAGTAATCTCCGACAATATTATCAAGATAAAATGAAAATTATTGAATAATTTGAAATTAATCATCAGCGTTTTAAATTTTTAATTGCTATTGTGATACAAGGATATCAAACAGGCAAAGACATGCAAGCATACAGCCAATAGTTAACTTCTAGACTTACGTATTATTATAGTGAAATATTATTCCTCCTTTGTTTATTGTTTCTTGCAAACACAAATAAGGGAAACTGATTAAAAACACGAATTTAATCCATCCTAAGACCGCCATGTTCTGTTTTGCCGGCACTAAACTGTTCTGTGGTGGAATTAAGTCATTTAATTTGTCTTCGAAGCACTAATCTCGATTAAATTTTAATTTCCTTAGGGAAAACCCCATTTGTGAGCCAAACAAGCGAACAAAACGAGATTATTTTTACAAACACAATTGATTTGTCTTGAATTTGTCAAATCAAAACGTCAAAACTGAATAGGGAAGTGTGTTTGAGTAATATTGATTAGTTTATTAGTAATGTGTTAAATCGACTGTAGTCGATATTCAAATCGCCTCGTGGTTTTTTCATGAGTAATGAAAATGAGATAAAGTACTTATATCATATATTATGTATTTTTTATAAACTCTTCAATAATTTACAGATATTAAAATAGAAATTAAACGATTGGTCGAAGCTGAATAACTGTTGGGTGAAATAATATTGTAGCGAATGATGGTAGTCGACTTACTCGAGTAAAACTTACTCGATTTAAAATTGATAAACAGACACAACGCGGTACAAGTAAAAATTAAATAGAGGAAGTAGATGAGCCTAATTAATATTGCATATAGTAATACTGCGTTAATAATATTGCATGATTATGCAACTATATTGCGTTTATAAGCATTTTCTACTATAAATGCAACGATCATTTTATTGCCTTCCTTTTTGTTTACTATATATCCAAGATAGTTAAGGATATATAGTTTTAAGTGGGCTTGTTTGTACGTACAACGATGCGATGTGGTATACCAAGCGATCATTTCATGCATGTTTAATATAGAAAACGGCCAAAAAGTATGTATCTTGCTTGCTTCAGATGTTGAAATCGAAGTCGAGAAACTTTGGGAGATACTGTCTCTGAGGAAGAGAGAAATACTACTATTTAGTGTTTCGAAAAATTTCGGTAAACTACCATTGTTACTGTGCTATAAAAATGTACAACATTGTGTTCCATCTATTTATTTAATATTTATATACTTAAGGTAAGTAGTGTTCGATTTTTAATTTTCAATTCAGTTTTCACACTCTTCTGGAGATTCTGGAGGTGACCGAAATCACCACGCTAGTTTTGTAGCTTGCATCACGCTACACATTAGTTAGGTCACTTCTTAATAATTCTTAACAAAACCTTAGTATAGAGAAGCTTCTTCGAGTACCTTGGTCACAGTTTCAGTTATTTTAGTTAGTTCATCTTGCGCCATCGGCGAAATGCTAGTTATTAAACTTTACACAATGTGATAATCTGAAACATAACTAAGAATTGTTTTACAAATCATATAATAATCAAACTAGGATAAGACGTCGATGTTGACTATAAATCGAAACTCTTGTAAGTACAATGATTAAATTATTACAGACATTTATACATTTACAGACTATTATTAGACATATCTACTCACTAGATATCTACTCACTAGTGTTGCCTCCACCGTGTAGTGAATCTTTTCGGAAAACTTCATCATACCTATATACAGTTGCGGGAATAAACCGTACAACAAGCATGAAGATATTGGGACTGATATTGTCAAGTTAAAGAGGATTTTTCAGTACCATGTCACTTAAATTAAATTAATTTTAAGATTCCCATTCCCATCAGAAGGACCCTGTGCCTTATCTATGCCTTAGAAGTAGTCAAGAGAGACCAGAACGTTCTAAAACATGTGGATTAATTTCTTGTTAGATGCAACTGAGCAACGTGGCATTTTTTTTTAATATTTAAAAGTCATTTTGTTATACTTTAACGTTATGATTTTAAGTAACTTATTTAAATAAGTTACTTAAAATCTTTGACAAACATAAATTCAATGTCCATTGAATAAAACATTTAATAGGTAATCAACTTTACATCAAAACTATAAGTTTTAAATGAACGCGTTTCATATATCCTTCGTCTACGAACGCGTCCTTAGCAAGACCAATCACATAAAAAGAAGCAGCTTCGTTATTTAAAAAAAATACTGTCAACCAATAGAATTTGAGTATTCAACTCACCGGTCGTATAACGTGTTCTTATTGGTCATGTAATTGAACAGGTGCTATGCGTCATCCGCCATAACGTTGTTAGTGCGTGAAAGTGAGATCGTTTTGTGAAATTGTTAAATAAAAAAGTGATTTAATTGTGATATTTTTGTTGTAAAAGTGTTTAATGTGTTAACGAAGATGACTGAGTGGTATAGAATGAAGACGGGCTTCATTAACAAGCACGATTCATCGGAATTGTCGACAGAAACTTCGTGTGAAATGTCAGACTCATTCAATATATTTTCGGATAATTTAAGTCCGATACCGTCGTCAATAGTGCCTAGGAAGTTGGATTTTAGTAGCATGGATGACGATGACGGCATGAGGGATGCTGTTCCACCTCCAGTTTCACATAGTCCTCCGTATAAAAGAGTTAGGGCTCTCAGGTACGTATTTTAAGTCCTAAGCATTAAATTTATTACGAAAATTACCACGCTACGTGGTTCCTTGGCTTCTGTGACCACGGCAGCGTCTTTTAGGTCGTTGTTATGATATAATTAATGTCGTAACTTTCACTTTTGAATCTGTTTCAACTTCAATGTCACGCTAATTAGGCGAATTTTAGTCTTCGTTCACGTATTTTGTCGTTTTGGGCTGTAGCCAAGTAGTCAATTTTCGTTTGTTTGTTGTGTATTTAGCCTCAGTTTCATGAGAATTATATTTTTTACAGTGAAAACTGTGTCAAAAACCTTATATGCAAGAATACCACTTTTAATTCATAATGTTTTGTGAAAAAGGCAATTAATTCGCTTTCAGATCGTTAATTATGCTTTGGTTACGGAAATTTCTAATTTGAAAAGTAGTTTTAACACTTATTTAATATGCTCTCTTACTTAAATTCACCTGTTTGGTCTTAAAAGGTTACTTCCAAAACAAGAACATTTCTATATTGTCATGGATAATATTCATTACAATAAAGTAGCTTTTACCTGTCGCTGTCCTTACATGAATAAGTTTATGCTCTTCTCCATACAACCAGCTACATGTATGCAAAATTCCAAGAAGTTTGTTTGAAGACCAAAAGAGAAAAGAGGTTACATGTTCCTTTTTTAAATTTGTGATTTAATATTAGCTTTTGTGAATATATTTATAAAGAGAACACAGTCAATAATAATAAGACAGAAGATCAACCTTAATTAACATACTCACAGTCAATCGCAATTAAAATATAAGCTTTTTTATTTGTAACCAGCAGTTCTTGTGATAAGCACTTTCAAACCAACAAACTAACATGTAGTACTAGGTCCCAATCACTATACATTTTGCAACTATTAAACAATTGGTAAGGAATGCTCATGTCATTAAGTTCACCTTCTTCAAATGTACACAATAGTATTTTGTGCATGAAGTTTATTAAATACATAAATAAATATAACTTGTTCTATATTTGAGTAAGTACAATACAAAATACATTTTGTCTCACATATCCAAGATCCACATCTTTTAATCATATCACAAAATGAATGTTCCCAAATAAATACCATACCAGGGCTTAATACTTTTCTTCTTCCTGTTATTAAAAATATTTTCTCAGCAGTAGGACAGTTACAATGATGACTGATGTCAAGGTCAAAGTTAAAATAAATTAAGTATAATAAATTAAATATAGTAAGACTCTACAGGCACTATGCTTAAAGATGAAATGTGTCAGTCTGTTGGTCAGTCCTCCTAGTGAAGCTATTTGATCATTCCAAAATGTAGATTCTGATGGAGAAGAACAAGCAAGAAACTCCATGGTTATTATTTTTCAATCATTTTCAGTAACTGATGTTGGTTATTATCATAATGATGTTTGCATATAAAATCTACCAATGAATTCTCTATGCATACAAAATAAAAATAATAGTTAAAACAGTTATACTAATAAATATGGTAATATTGCCATTAAATAAATATTATTACTTGTGTCCTTGAACTTGAATTCCATTTAAAACACAAAAATGTGAAAGTAAATCATTATTGTTCAATACTCATAAACAGCTTTATGGATTTTGATGTAGTTTGTATTCAGTATGTCATGTAAGGCTTTATGAGCAAGATTCTTTTTTTTTATCTTTATTTGTCACTAGGTTAGTAAAGATAGGATTTAGCCATATATCCTTCACAAATATATACAATTTGACTGTCTATAATACCCAAATCTGTACAGAAGATCCGGATAAAACTTTGACCATCTTATGTATATTTTATTTTTATAGTGTACTAGCTACTCTCGCGCGGTTTCATCCGCTGCTCAGCTCCATTTAATTGTAGCGTGATGTTTTATAGCCTTTACAAATCAGGAACCAGTGATTCCAAAGATTACCCCCCTGCATACAAACTTACAAATTTTACCTCTTTATAATATTAGTATAGATTAGAGTCTTGGTGTAATATAAGTAATAATTTTATTTGATATCCATACAAATAATAATTTAGTACTAAGTCTAAAGAAATAGTTGAATTTTGGCTATATCTTTGTGTATATTTTGCTACTTTCTAGGTATGTTGATTAGAAGCAGCCTATCTACATAGCAATTTACAACCAAATCGGTAGCCATTTTTGCCTGAAAGTATAACACCATACATTTTATTATACCTAGTAGAAGGAAAGTATTATTTAAACATGTCTCAACAGGTTCAAACTTGTTACCCAAAAATTTCAGTTATGTGAATTCCAGACCTTTATTGAGACAAGTTTGGACAAGTCCCATTTTTTGGTGGATCCCCCTCCGTTTCTTGATATTGACAATAGGTGTCATGTCAATGGTCAATTGTCAATAAGAATAAGGGTTTCCTGTTTGATATTGTTATTATTATTTATTTGGAAAGGCATACCATATCCTTGTTATATTGACTCTTTATTAAAATAGGCGGTGAATTAGGCCATTCTGATGGTAAGCTGTTTGCGCCGCCTATGGACTAATGCAACACCAGAGTAGTTTGTTGGACTTTTAGGTAGTCAAGGATTTGAAGACTGGAAAAAGTACATATTTGGGTATTGGCCGTTCTATAACCTCACTCATACGGCTAAATACAACCTTTTATTTCACGCCGTTTCTCTACGACACTGTGGTATACAATGATATTATAAGTAAAATGGTATAGATAGGCTACATAAACAAAATTCGATTTTCAAAAACGGCACACTAATGCATACGAGAATAAATCGTATGAAACACGTTAAAGTAGGATGGCATGATTCAATAATCGTGAGTGAAAAAGAGACAAATATTAATGTATCGATTGCTAAGCGCTTGTAACCTATCTACACCTTTTTACTTATAATATCATTGGTTGTATAACTCCGATAGAGATGGCCCGTTCGTTACCCCCGTCTTAATTTACACCTCTTAAAGTTTTTATGGTTAAAGAGTTGGTTTTACTTAAGTGTAATGTTTACAATTTATCTCCCGAGCCATTAATAATATAGCCATCTGAAACAAAAAACAACCTGGTACAAAAGCAGTACTGCCTATCCCCCAAACTCAAACCAATTTCGCAATATTTTCTACCATCGTTCTAGAAACTTCCTCAACATCCTAAAATGTATCTAAACATGTTGAAACATGTCCATTTTACGCGGAACCCTTCCAGCATTCATTATTTGACCTCATTCGTAACTTGTTATACCGGTTTTTGTTTCACTGCTCGGCTCCTACAGGTCGTAGCGTGATGTTTTATAGCCGATAGCCTTTGAAAAATGGACTATCCAACAACTACTTCGCGAATAACTTTCTCACTCGCAAATTTAATTTTAACAATAAAATCTATACTTATTTTATTTCGAAGATTACTAGAAGCAAGAATACCTTCAAAATGTCCGGGATGTGATGTCTAAAATCCGGGATTTCCACACTTATTGTCCCGGTTAACACATTACAAAGATGGCAACCCTAGTTGCGGCGCAAGCGCTATGCCTATAAGGCACCGCAAGCCTCGGCCTAGAGAAAGATCGGGGCGTTTTTAGTCAGTAAGAGTCTTACACTCCCTCCGGTCTCATCTGGGAGTAACTGCATATAACTTGGAAAAGTCTCATTGGTACCTACTTGCCAGGTTTCAAACTCGCACCCTAGTGCATGAGAAGCGGTCGCAATAACCTCCGGGCCACCACGACGAAAATCCATAATAATATTTAACGAGGAATTTCCTAAAAATATCCAATTTTACTTTGTCCGACCTAGGAATCGAACCTAAGACGCACTTGCGACCTCTCAACTAACAAGGCAGCACAATTTGACCTCATTTGAAACTAGTTATACCTGTTTTGAACATTATACTGTTATTTTGCGTTGTAGCTTTAAGTTGAGATTGAAATGCAAAAATAATTTTGTGAAATGTGAATGTTTGTCTGTTTGTTTCATTCAAATCCGCTAAACTGATGCATCCAATTTGATAAAGTTGAGTTTTGGATATACTTAGGCGGGATGTTGAAGAATTTTTTTCTGCAGTATCATTGGTTAAGAGAGAGATTTATATTTTCTAACTTAAGTATAATAAACTAGCATTTATACATACATCGAAGAGGAGGGGCACATAATTTTTGTAACAACTATGTTCTACCTACTACTCTGTTACTTAACGCACTCGTAACTCTTCCGTGGTGCTGGTGTCCATGGGCGGCGCTAATTGCTTACCATCAGGTAATCCATTTGCTCGTTTGCCGTCCTATCACATAAATAGATTGGGTCTAGCAGTTCTGATTTTGGGTCAAACGAATTAACGTACCGAAATCCCGAATTGGATTATCAGCAGTATAAGGAACGGGGCGGTTTTTCGTCAGTAAGAGTCAGTAATAATCTGACACTTCCTCTCGCTCCAACCGTGATGACAGAGCCGGGGTTGCGGGGTAAGCGCAATGAGGCATCGCGACCTCGGCCCAGACCAGGAGAAGGAACGGGGGGTTTTTAGTCAGTAAGAATCTGGCACTCCCTCTCGCCCGGCCCTGGGCGGTAGCAGCCATTTGAGGATTTTCCCCTCACAAAAAAAAAACCAGGGTAGTAGAAGTAATACAGTATCCTGAAGAGTTCCAACTTGAAAAACAAACGAAACCGCACGCAAAACTTAGTCTCGAAATACCGTGAAATTTCTATTTTAAAGATGGCTGATAACTCTTTAACTTATTGACATTTAAAAGCGAATACATTTAGTTTGGTCCGTCACGACTTCGAGCTGTGTGTTTGGGTAATGCGTACATTATATGGCAATAGGTCAGCTGATGTCCTTATATGGGAGTTTATATGCAAGTTTAACCTGGTTGTGGAATAGAGGAATGTCGACAGTTTCCTTAAACATAATACAGATCGTAACGTGACGTTTTATAGCCTCGATAGACTAATAAACACAAAAAGAATTGTTCTATTCGATTTGAACTAGCAGTTTCGGAGATTAGCGCGTTCAAACAAACAAATTCTACAGCTTTATAATATTGATTGCTCGGTTGCTGCGGTGGCTGGGCAACTGGCTGCCGTGCAACGTGTCGCGGTGTGGCGTATCCACAAATTGTTGTTCCGTCCGGGTCTGGGTGGCTTGTGTAAGTGAAATTGTATGTATGTAACCGCACTCACGACGATTTAGGGCAAACGATTTTAAAAATAAGAAAATTAGCATAATTATTATGGGAGAGCCATGCTTCGGCGCGAATAGGTCGACTCGACGGGACTGATCCACGGCTTAACAGAAAACCGGCGTGAACATCATTCTCCTCCATTTCCATTCCATAAAAGTCTGACTTGTAATTCGGTGTTGAGAGTGTACCTACATGGCGCTGGTTGCTTAACCTCAGGTGATATGTTTGCTCGTTTGTCGACCTATCAAAAAAAAAATGACATACCTTTTTTTGCCCCATACTAGGATTTTCTCCTGTGTCGTGGGTGCAGTTACAAACATACGATTTTAACTAAAATTCGCGGGTTACTCACGTGTAAATGATGAGAAAAGCTCTACTAGTTTCGAACCACAGAGGGGTTCTTCCTCATGAGCAGCGTGCGCGGACGCGGCGACGTCGCGTAGAGCTTTTCTCATCATTTACACGTGAGTAACCCGCGAATTTTAGTTAATTTAGTATGTCTCACGATAGTTATTATAAAAACATACGATTTTACATGTACACATGACACCCAGACCCGGAACAACAATTTGTAAATAACACAAAGAGTTGTTCCGTGCGGGAAATCGAACCCGCGACACGTTGCACGGCAGCCAGTTGCCCAGCCACCGCACCAACCGTGCAGTAAAAACTTTTAAACGAAGCTACGTACGTTAAACGCAGTGAGTATTTCACAAAGAAAAAAATGACAAAAGAAATCTACCTACTTTACTGACTCATTCTCTGACTGAAATCAGTTAAACTACAGTTATGTAAGAAAACATTTGATCGGAACAGCTGACATCTGCCTTTAGCAGAAAAAAAAAACACCCACACACCTTTCTCTCTCGTACACGGCATTTTGCATCTTATCACTTTAGAGATACGGTTGTATTTCTCTTGTTAGCTAGTTTCACGTGAGAATCGTATTGCGAAAGTGAGTTCAAATGAGATAGTTATAAAGTTTATTTTCAAATGAATTTTGGATTGATTGTGTTTTTGTTTTGTACTGGTTTTTTGGCGTTAAAGTGTTTTTTGCGAAGATTATAAAATGTGTAGGTTTTAACGTATTTTTGCCGTTTTTAGTGCGGGTTTGTGCCTCGGGCTGTGGAAATTGTTGTGACGACGAGATTCTCGGAAGTTTGAATTGTAGCCCGGTGTTTGGTGATAGGTTCGTGTCACAATTACAATGGTATGAATAGCGTAACTTTTATTGTAATATATACACACCTGCCTTTACCTTTGAGACATATACAGAACAAAAAAGCAAAAAAATACTATTTACATCTTACAACCGGTAATAGGGATGGTCGCAGGGCATGTAAATAATGTCAGGGTTGCGGGTTAAGCGCAATAACGTTCTCCGGTCCTGATAGGAGCAGGAGAAGGAACGGATGGTTTTTAGTCAGTAAGAGTCTGACACTCTCTTCACCCAGGACGGGAAAGTCATTGCATGACTTCCTCAATTAAAATCCTATGAGCTGCTGATGTAACTGACTAACTGATCGTAGATAGATCTAGGCGCAGATTGCTTGCCATCAGGTAATCAGTCTGTTCGTTTGCCGACGTATTCTATTTTTTTCCATCACCTATTCCATTTTTTTCATCATTGGTACAATAATTCTTTGTGTGATAAAGTGCTGTTTCGGGGTTGAAATTATATTCCAGGTTCCAGGGATGTTAGGGAGCTCTTTAACCGTAACCGAAACTATCGGATATCCGATTTAAAAAAAATATCCGTGTCTGTAACCGAGTCCGGAATAAAAGTTTCGGATAATATCGGATAGCGGCGGGGTCTAATTGAGACACGTTATGTTTGTATGTTACTTTTGAAATTCCTGAAAATTTTAATATCTGTAGCCGAAATTATCTGAAAATAACGGATGAACCGAAATTTGTCATTTCATATCCGTATTTGTTACCGTATCCCAGTATAATAATCATTCTTATATCCGTGTCCAATCCGTATGCGAAATTTCATATCTGTCCCTATAGTCAGAATTTTAATTCGATTCCAGATTTGACATTGGCCTCTGTCATTTTGTGAAATAATGATACCACATATAACAGTGTAGTGATGAACACAAATATCGATAAACTATTCGTGAATCATTAACAGGAAGGCATACAAAAAATTACGGCTATTGAATGGTCTAAATCTCTCTCTATCCTATGTTGTCAAAGAAGAGGAAAAAATGAGTAAGCTAGATATGTTAATTGATAATAAATATCACAGACACAATTCATAATAAATGTTACAAGAAGTAACAACGATAGCGATAGCGATGACGGCGACAATTTATAAAATAAATTATTACCATAATAGATCACATTTTTTTATTAATTTCACACAAAATTATAAAAGAAAAGTATCAGATCGTTAATTAATTGTCAAAACTAAATTATCGGTTCAGAAATATTTGATTTTCTGATAAACTTAGTTTACGAGAGTAAATGTATTAACGAAAGTAATCGATTCGGAAATATTCGATTTACATATCGAATAATTTTGCAACGTCACTATTTAGTACTTGTCATAACGTTGCAACACTGAAATTGTCAAATCAGGAATCTAATTAAAATTCCGAGTATAGTTTATTCTGATGCGTCGACGGCTCATAAGACATTCTGATAGCCAAGTGCAACATTATTAAACAAATAAAAGAATTCTTGAATCGCATTTAGAATCCGGTTTCCGTACCCCTACGCAAGCGATACACTGAGTACAAAATTATAATAATACCAACGAAATCTATAAACACATTTTCCTAAACGTTAATAATAATACTATACAGGTATCAAAAAAAGCAACCCCAATCTCTACTAAGATTAACAATATCCAACACTTGTGTTGTATAGAATATTCTTGAACACCTGAACGCAATTTGAAGAAAAAAACCTAGGGGAGAATTGCTGAGACGGTACAGTAGTTGTGAAGAAATTTTTGAAAAGGATATTTTTGGCGTAGTTTCGTTGGACAGCTGTTTTAATTTTTTTTTGTATAGGTAGGTAGGTACTAATGGAAAGGTGGTCTGTGCTTATCGCCGGCAGATTCAGTTTCCGTGTCGTGTAAAAGTTTTTGGGTATTTATTATACTTATAGCTGATTTTTCAATAGTCAGATAAATGTGATCTAAGGAATAAAATTGTTGCTGTCACTGTCTTATACAAACATTATGACGCGACAGCATCATAATTATTCCCCAGGTAACTTTTATCTAACCATTGAAAAATCAACCTTTAGACAAATATTTTTACGTTATTTCAGTACAATAAAATGTTTGCAAATATTAATTGCTCTTGTTATTCTGAATCGCTTTTAAGGTAACAATTATAATTTTGGGTTTTATCTAGGTCTAATTCTTTATTTAATAGTGGTCATTCGAGACACTATAGAAGAACGTTAAGGGTGCGAAAGCCGACGTTCGCTTGGGATTTTTCTGAATTAAGATATAATTCATTTGGATTAAAGTTTTGTTTTATAACTTTCACATAATATATGTAATTGGATGTCATTTCAATAAAGTTGTATTGACAGTAGTAGCAAAATACTAAAGACCGAATGAATGTGATGTGCGCTAAAGGAGTACACAAGAAGCCCAATAGATGGCGCTGTTTCTAGTTTTGAGAGTTTGTGTGTATATGTTTTTTAACCAATTTTCTAATTGTTTCCAGGTTATTCGACAGTCCGCATACGCCTAAGACATTGCTAGAGAAATGTTCAACGCCATCGCACCATCCGCCGCGCTCCAGACTATTCCCACCCAAATTAAACGCACAGTCGGGTAAGCAAATCTTTGAAACTTCTTTTTTGTGTGTGAACAACCCTTTAACTCTGCAACTTCTTCTGTCGTTGGTGGGAGAAGTGTCAGACTCTTACTGACTAAAAACCAACTTGATCCTTCTCCTGCTCTGGCCTGGCTTCGCAACAGGTGCAATGCTGATGCTAAGTTTCTCCACTATTTAATAGATGTTATGTTATTAAACATACTTATAAAACGTACTTTTCAATCACTCTATCTATAAAAAACACGCATCGAAATCCGTTGCGTAGTTTTAAAGATTTAAGCGTACTTAGGGATATAGGGGCAGAGAAAGCGACTTTGTTTTATTTTATAATCTAATTCTAATTTTCTTCGCTTTTGGTTTTTTTTTAGGGATCCATAAAAATAGGAACCCTAATACTAAGAAATACTCCACTCTCCGTCTGTCTGTTTACCACCAGGCTGTATTTCATACATTTAGATAGGTAGACAGTTGAATTTCATTTGGCAAAGTCAAAATCATTTATTCCAACTAAACCATTTATACTTTTGAAATGTCCAAATAGAATAATAGTCAGTCAACATACAGATCTGATGCTCAAATCTAGTACTAAAGTCCTTCTTTCTTTCTACAGGCATGCCGTCTGGTTCCAGTCACCACCTGCATCCACCATCAGGGGATGATGACAGCGCACTTGGCAGTCTACCACCTGACGAGCTGGACGAATCCAGGATGACCAGAAGGGCTGTAGCCAACATCAATCCATTTACACCTGATGGTAAGTGGAATATGAATAAAAGGCTTGGATCTTGGTTATTATATGGCCGTCGTATCTTGGCGAGTCTGAAGTTAGCCGTTTGTCTGCGCAATCGAGCTTTTAGGAACAAAATTGTGTACTGCGCAGCTAATCGGCTAACTTCAGACTCGCCAAGATACATTGGTGGTACTGTACTTTGACTTTGCTATCACAGTACACAGTCGGGCAGCTCACTGCACTAGAGTTACATTGTCAATGGCCGATACTCGCTCGACCACCTTATTTTATAGTGGAGGATGACAGACAGTTCTAGTGTTACAATAATTAGTTTGACTAATTAGACATGATACAACAGTAAGGCCTGATTGCTCTTTTTAGAGGGGAGCGTTTGTAAGTTCGTTTCAAAGAGGGTGCTTGCCGTTTCTGGTGGTAAAATTTGGTTAAGCCTGCCTATTCCCATACATGGGGGTATCATCATATATTTTTTTCTTATATGATAGGTCGCTATAAAGCTAATTTTGAACACATACGTATCTTAATAATACGGTTTAGGTACTCTTGTAAACAATTATCCTCATGCTCGACTAGTTTCGAGCCACGCTGGGGCCCTCAGTCACGGCCGCTCGTAATTAAAGTGTTTATATTTTTTTGTTATTAAGATAATATTTTTTGCCATAATGCAAGCTTATTATAATTTATTTTTTCCAGGCCAAGCTCTAAATAAGAAGAAGCGAGCGTTGTCAAAAACACCGACTTGGGGCGATGCTACACCAGAACAACCAGCCAAGAGGCTTAGGGTATGTATTATTAATATAATCTTATATATAAAAATGGATCGCAAAATGTGTTGGTAAGCATATAACTCAACAAAACCTGGACCAATTTTTCTAATTCTTTTTTTGTTGTGTTTGTTACTGCTAGGAGAAGGTTCTTATCAAAGAAAATATTAGAAAAGTGTAGGGGAAGATTAGGAAAAAGTGACCCTTTGAGAGCAAGATAGTTGGACCCGTGCAAAGCGGGGAGCCAGTAATTCATAAAAAAATCATTAAAAATATTCTAGTATAAGTTGTTAGTTTGATTTGTAATGTTAATGGGTTTTTCTTAGTGGGGTGTTAATGTATAGTAATATTCCAATGCTTTTGTTGGAGACTTTTGTGTCTATAATTATTTTTCACCAGTTCTTGAACAAGATTATTTCTAACAGGTGAAATTTGTTTTTGAATGTTTTAGTATCTTTGATGTAAAATTTATTGTTTTTTTTTTTATGTAATTGATCGGCAAACGATCAGACGGATTACCTGATGGTAAGCAATCACGCCGTCCACGAACACGAGTGCGTTGCCTACCTTTTAAGGATTAGGATTTTGGAGATTTAGGGATTGGGGAGGAATCGTCTTTGAGGCCGTGGTATCACTACGGTCGAGCCGTCCTATTCGTGCTGAAGCGTGGCTCTCCCACACTTAAAACAATTTTGTATGAATTTTATGTTTAAGTTACTTTATAATTGAAAAGGTTTTGTGTATAAACACTATTAGTTAGTTAGACACAAATATAATAAAAAATAAATAAATGAATATTTGCTCTATTTGTCCCAGGAATCGAACATATCTCGGTACAACGTGGAGTTCGTGGAGCTGGGCGTGATAGGTCGCGGACAGTTCGGTCGCGTGACGCGCTGCGTGAACAAGCTGGACGGCTGCGTGTACGCGCTGAAGCGGTCGCTGCGCCCCGTCGCCGGATCCGCAGCCGAGCGCGCCGCCCTCACTGAGGTCTACGCACACGCCGCGCTCGGGAAACACCCTCACGTCGTCAGGTACGTACTCAAACAGACGGGGCCCTATAGGGCTCATGTTCAGCCGGGGTGGAGGGGTAAGCCCAATGAGGCACCGCGACCTCGGCCCATAGCAGGAGAAGGAATGGAGGAGTTTTATAGCCAGTAAGAGTCTGACACTCTCTCGCCTTACCCTGGACGGGATAAGTTATTTGATGATTTTACCCTGACAAAACAAATGGGTATGTCACTCATATCACGTCATCAGCCTATAAATACTCACTGCCGACCGGTTCAAAACCTTGCAAGTACCACTGTGACTTTTTTGAATTATATGTACTTTCTATGATTATTTAGACACCACTGACATACAATGAAGGTAAACATCGTGAGGAAACCTGGACTTATAATTTCTAATTATAAGTTTGAAATCGCCAACCCGCATTGAGAAAGCGTGGTAATTAATGCTCTAACCTTCTCCGTGTGAGAATAGACCTTTGCTCAGCAGTGGGCACTTATAGGCTGATGATGATATGATACAGTCCGGGATAGGACATAGGCTACTTTGTATCAACATACCACGCGGGCGAAGCCGTTGGCCTCAGCTAATCTATATATATAAAAGAAAGTCGTGTTAGTTACACCACTTATAACTCGAGAACGGCTGAACAGATTTAGCTGAAAATTGGCAGGGAAGTAGTTTAGAGCCAGGAGAAGGACATAGGATAGGGTAGGTAGAGTAGGTTAGGTAGAGTAGGGTAGGTAGAGTAGAGTAGGGTAGGTAGAGTAGGGTAGGTAGAGTAGGGTAGGTAGAGTAGGGTAGGTAGAGTAGGGTAGGTAGAGTAGGGTAGGTAAAGTAGGGTAGGTAGGGTAAGTAGACTAGGGTAGGCAGACAAATGACGGGAGCGACGCCGCGGGTAAGAGCTAGTTTAAGTATATAATCTAATATTGGTTTTCTCTATAACAGATATTACTCAGCTTGGGCAGAAGACGACCATATGATAATTCAGAACGAGTACTGTGACGGCGGCTCGCTGCAGCAGAAGATGGAGAATGGACCCTTGTCTGAAGCTGAACTGCTTCTGCTCCTCGCGCATATCGCTGATGGATTAGCGTGAGTACTTTATCAACATTCTTCTTTACCCACCAGAAGAGATTTTATGGGAACTCCTCAGTGTCCATGCTTCGGCACGAATGGGTCGGCTCTACCGGAGTGATACCACGGCCTCACAGAATACCGGCGTGAAACAACCGGTGTGAGTGAGGTTACCGGAGGCCCCAGTTTTCGTAATTCCTAAATCTTCCAAACCCTTATCCCCATAAAACCGGCAAAACACTCGTAATTCCTCTGGTAGGTGTCCATGGGCGGCGCCGATTGCTTACCATCAGGTAATCAGTCGACGGCTTGCCGACTTTCCCATATAAAAATAAAAATAATGATAAAAATGATGATTAATATTAACCATATTTCCTCTCACAGCTACATTCACTCCCTCCAACTGGTCCACATGGACGTGAAGCCAGGCAACATCTTCATATGCAGCGGGGAGGGGGAGCCCTCCCATGACTCCGACGATGGTTACGATGATGACGAGCCCCAGTCACATCATAAGTACAAAATTGGTGAGTTCCTTGTTCTATAATTTACACGGGGATATATTTTACTAGGAGGAGGCCTTTTATAAGGGGGAGAGGTTTTTGTTAAAAAGTGGCCTTTTTTAAGAGGGTGGCCTATGTTAAGGGGGGCTTTGCTCAGGGGTAGGCTCTTTGTTAAGGGGGGGGAGCTTTGTTAAGGGGGAGGCCTCTGTTTAGGTGGAGGCCTTTGTTTAGTGTTTTTATATGATGATGAAACAACATTTTTGTGAGTCGGGTAATAAAATGATTAAGTATTTTGATGAAATATTTTTGTTTTTTTGTTATTCAGGTGACCTAGGACATGTGACCTGCGTGTCTTCTCCGTCGGTGGAGGAGGGTGACTGTCGCTACCTCCCCAAGGAGGTGCTACAAGAGGACCTAACGCAGCTCACCAAGGCGGATATATTTGCTTTCGGTGAGTACAATAACAGTTTGCCAATAGGGTATAGGTATAAGTGTAATAAGGTACCGCTGCCTTGGCCTAGAGCAGGAGAAGGAACAAGGTGTTTTAAGTCAGTAAGAGTCTGACACTCTCTTCTCGCCCCACCCAGGCCATTTCATTTACTAGCTTCTATATGCCCTATTCCGTAGTGTTCCCATGCCTGTGCCAAATTTCATTCAGAGAGATATACTAAGATACCACGCATGCGAAGCCGCGGCCGTAAGCGAGCTGTGTCGTGTGCCATTACAGTTATTCCGTCAGAATGGAACCCGCGAGACGTTGCGGTACAGCCGGTTGCTCAGCCACGGCGCCTAGTACACGGAAGCTATATAGTTACTTTTATAAGCGTGCTTATAAGCGTTTGTAAGCGCATCTACAATATTGAAAAAGACCCTAGTGTAGGGCAAAGATTATCCAACCAAATGTCTGCACGGTTGGTGCGGTGGCTGGGCAACTGGCTGCCGTGCAACGTGTCGGGGGTCGATTCCCGGACGGAACAACTCTTTGTGTGATCCACAAATTGTTGTTCCGGGTCTGGGTGTCATTTGAATGTGAAATTATATGTTAAAAAAAATGTGTTAATAATTGTTTGAATTTCAGGTCTGACGTTGTTCGAGGCGGGTGGCGGTGGCCCCTTACCGAAGAACGGACAGCAATGGCACGACTACCGGGACGGCAAGCTGCCCGAGTTACCCAAACTGTCCAGAGAGTTCAACCAGCTGTTAAGAGTAAGTTTTTAATTAGCTAAACTTATATTTTATAACCTTTGGAAGTGTGGGAGAGTTATGCTTCGGCACGAATGAGTGGGCTCGACCGGAGTGATACCACGGCCTCACAGAAAACCGGCGTGAAACAACCACAGCGTTGTGTTTCGTTGTTGTTTCGGCATTTCTTCTCAGAGTAGTCAGATAGGAAATGCCGGCTTCTTCTAGTTTTTCACATATAATTTAACGTGTAAAAGTGCCGTTTTATGGCCTATTTGCAAAAATAAATTCATTGTTTCATTGTTTCGTCGTGTGAGTGAAATTATCGGAGGCGCAATCATTCCCCTCCCGCAATCCCTAAATCTCCAAATCCCTAATCCCAAAAAAGGTCGGCAATTTAATCGTAACTCCTTGGATTGAGAGTGTCCATGGGCTGATTGCTTACCATCAGATAAGGCATCTGCCTGTTTGAGATTACTGTTTTTCATGAAACAATTCCGCCACAATCCTAAATCCTGATCTACAGTAGATACAACCATGAAAACACCGGAATACTGAATTACAGCTGTCTGATACTGATGATTATTTGTAACTTTGTGTCCAGAAAATGGTAGACCCGGACCCGTCGCTGCGTCCGTCGGCGGCGCGGCTCCGGCGCCACCCCCTGCTGCACCCCGCCGGGAACAAGAGCAAGACGCAGCTGCGCAGGGAACTCGCCGCCGCTAAGATGAAGAACGAACTCCTCGCCAGGAAACTACAGGAAGCTGCCAGGTTAGTATTTTATTTCTATACTAGCTATTCTCGCGCTGTTTCACCCGCTGCTCACCTCCATTTGATCGTAGCGTGATGTTTTATAGCCTAATAGCACTCAGAAACATTGTAGCTATCTATCAGTGAAAGAATTTTGGCAATCCGACTAGCGGTTCCAAAGGTTACCCCCTACATACAAACTTACAAATTTTACCTCTTTATAATATTAGTATAGAAGTCGGCAAACGACCTCACACAGATTAACTAAGGGTAAGCAATCGACGCCGCCCATGGACCATGGACTCAAACACTAGAGGAGTTACGAGTGCTTTGCCAGCCTTTTGGACATTTTAGGTAAGAGGAGGGGGGGGGGAAGAGAAGCATTGGGCCTCCGGTAAACACAACGCTGTGGTTGTTTCACGCCGGTATTCTGTGATACCGTGATATCACGTCACTTTTCTATATGGGTAACATTCTATAAGTATGGTAGAGTCAAGCTTCAGCTCGACCGGAGTGATACTACGGCCTCACAGAAAACCGGAGCAAAACAACCACAGCATTGTGTTACCGTAACTTTTCCCGTATTATCAATCCTCAAATCTCCTATCTTTAAATCCCTTATAACCCTAAAGAGGTCAGCAAGCCAGCAACGCACTTGTAGTAACTCCTTCAATATTACTAGTGTTCATGGGCGGTGCTGATTGCTTACCATCAGGTATTCCACCTACTTGTTTGCTGACCTACGATGTAAAAAAAATATAGTTTTTATTACGCAACACAACTAACTCTCGGGAAGAAATTGCTTTTTAGTGATAAGATAGCCAATACGGTAGTTTCCAACTAGTCAAATTCAATACTTTTATCCAAATGTCAAAAACGATACTTTTCAATGAAATACTGAGTTATGACGTCATAGTATTTTTGTGTCAAATAGCTTCTTATTTCTTAATAATTAGCCACAAAATATCTAAAACTTAGTTTATCGATCGATCGATGAATAAAAGTTTAGTTATTTTTCAATATTTTATTTTATTTAAACGTCGAGTTAAGTTAATTTTGACCTAGGAAACTACCCAATTGTACTAAATTTTGTGTTGGTTTTGTCCTGTTTTTTTATAACTTTTGTGTACAATAAAGGGATATTCTATTTATCTAACGTTAAAAATTCTCCATTTTTCACAGATGTATAAAGTCGTTAACGCCGAATATAGTTCAGAATCAAGAATCGGCGAAATTTCGCACTCGGTCAGCGAAAAGACTGCAGAAACCCCGCGTCGACACACACATAGCGGAGATGATACAATCCGTTACGTCACCGATTAGAATAGACAGGACATACAGAAGAACGAAAAAGGTATAACATTATATTTAAATATATATAAAAAAAAAAAATTTTTAATCTAGCAATACCGTCATTATATGGTATTCTACGACTGCGGTTGAATTTTCATATGTTTCTTGACAATAATTTATGAGATTTTGTTATTTAAGTAATGTTTGTACAGCTAGCGTTTTTCGAGGATGCTCGATTTTTTATAAGAGCCTCGGTTTACCTCGAAAATTGTCGAGTAAACTCGAATTAGTATATTTCGGTGATAATCGACGGTTGATGGTTGATTAACGGCCTCGGTTTATCTCGAAACTGATCGGGTCACCTCGAAACATGTAATGTAATATAAATATTATTTATCTTAATATATTTCTCACGGTTCTATGTCAGATTTGAATACAGTCGTTTTTATTATAAGGGTAATAGGGATTCCTTTTATGTAATTGTATAAAAAGATAAAATTATAATGTCTTACTTTAATTAATAGAATAAAGATTGTACAAAAAATATGAATAGCTTGTTGCATTTTTGAAAATTAAGCGTGATTTTTACAGTGAATAAAGTTGTTTGGTATTTTGATAAGAAATGAAAGGTAGAGAGAGCACAGCTATAGGAGATATAACTAAAAATCGCGGTTTACTCATGTGTTTAATTGAGAAAAGCTCTACTAGTTTCGAACCACAGCCTCCAGTAGGCTGCGCGACGTCGCCGCGTCCGCGCACGCTGCTCATGAGGAAGAACCCCTCTGTGGTTCGAACTAGTAGAGCTTTTCTCAATTACCTACAAACGTGAGTAACCCGCGATTTTTAGTTAATTTAGTATGTCTCACGATAGTTATTATAAAAACATAGGAGATATAGTTATTCTAAATTATATGGTTTATAACGAAGCCATATCTTCTGTATACATTGGTCGGCTCGGTAGATAAACTTATACACAGAAAACTGGCGTGAAACAACCACAGCGTTGTGTTTCGCCGTGTGAGCGAGGTTACCGGAGGCCCAATCCCTTCACAATCCTTAAGTATCCGATATCCCGAAACGGCTGGCAACGCACTAGTCGTTGTTGCGGGGGTGTCCATGGGCGGCGCTGATTGCTTACCATCAGGTAATCAGACTGCTCGTTTAATTAAAAAAATGCGTACAGTCTCTACTATAATGATCGTTATTTTTAAATTTTCTTACTCTCATACCAAAAAACTTTAACAGAAGTATTAAGAATATAACACGAGTGATTTTGACAGTAACGTTTGACAGTAACTTTTAGTGTTTTGCCAGCAAAAAAATAAACTACAGTCTTTCAATTTAGGTAATTGACTAAATGTAAACAATCTTGACATGTCTTTTTAAATAAAAATTGTATGTACTAAAAATTTAAAAAAAACCACCGACCCAAAAAACGTAAGTTACCTTTAAAAAGTATATACAAAAAAAAACTTAATTGAAATCGTTTCATCCGTTCAGGAGCTATAATGCCACAGACACACAAACAGACAGACACGTCAAACTTATTAAAGTTTCTGTTTTTTGTGACGTACAAATCATAACCTTTCATTTGATACCCCACTCGACCATATTTGCAGACATTCGGTTTTTCTTCCCCAATTTAACCCCCCATAATTTTTAAAAGGCTCAATAGAGTTTCATTAATCATCACGTCTAAGAACACTCGCCCGTAAAATACCTGTAATACAAAAAAATACTATATTGAAATCGGTTCATTCGTTCAGGAGCTATGATACTACAGACAGACAGACAGACACGTCAAACTTATAACACCCCTCTTTTTGCGTCGGGGGTTAAAAATGTTTTCAATCTGGTATTTATCTAAGAGCTGATTTTTCAATAGTCAGATAAATGTTATCTGAGAAATAAAATTGTTGCTGTCACTGTCTTATACAAACATTCTGACGCGACAGCATCATAATTATTCCGCAGGTAACTTTTATCTAACCATTGAAAAGTCCGCCCTTAGTTGATGTTAGCTAGTAAACTTACCCCCGGTTTCCGAAAGGCCGATCAATGAAAATCAATTTAATGTCTTGTCAAGTCATCTGATTGGTTGACTGAATTATCAACAACCAATCAGATGAGTTGACAAGAGATTTGACACCTAGTTAGTTGATTTTAACATTAATTTAAATAATCTTTGTATGTATTTTATACGATATCTTTAATATAAAAAGACTGCAAAATTGTTTACTTTAAGATTAATCACCTGAATCGATAGACTACAGTTACCATTGACAGAATTTTTCCATTAAAAATTTTTAGCACGATAATTTTACGTGAGTATCTGTTTTAGAAATGGGATTTTTCTTCTCCATTATTAAGTTTTGACTTTGATAGATTTTTTCATTCGTTTTTCAGTTTATTTTTTCATGTAAGGGTCATATTTTCTTTTTGTGAAATTTCGGCAATGAACTTGTAACTCCTCTGGTGTTGCGGGTGTCTATTGCCGGCGTTAGCTTGCCATCAGGCGATCCGTCATCGCGTTTGCCGAACTTACTTTCAAGAAAAATATATATTTTTTTGGTTATCTGGCTCTTAGTAAAATTATCTAATTATGAATCCCTAACCATAATTTTAACTGTCATAGTCACTTCACCAAACTGCCAGATAAAATTACTGAAGACCTGTTTTTTACTTTCGCGTTTCATTTTAACAACATATATAATTACGCAAGTATTAACGTGAAAAGTAAAATTATCGAAATGCCTTGGTAGGCTTGACGTTTCGACCTGGTTGCACAGGTCGTGGTCGCAAGCAGACTGAGGATGCGATGTCACAGCTCCCTGCATTCGGGCGATAAATCTTCATCTACCCCCTTATTTTAACTCTCTATGGCTTGGTTCACCAGTGTCTGATTAAGTTCCTTTTAAGTTTACTGCCACATATTAAAATACTAGCTTCCACCCGCGGCTTCATCCGCGTGGTATGTTGAAAAAGTAGGCTATGTCCTATTCCGGAGTGTATCCTATGCTTGTGCAGAATTTCATCCAGATCCGTCCAGCCGTTTTGGCGTGATTGAGAAACAAACATCCAAACATCGTAACTTTCGCATTTATAATGTTAAGTTGTATATCTATCAGTCACTAGCTTTTCCCGGTTTCACTCGCTGCTCGGCTCCCATAGACCGTAGCGTGATGTTTTTTAACCTATGGCCTTCCTCGATTAATGGACTATCCAACACGAAAATAATTATTAAATTCAAACTAGTAGTTTCAGAGACAAACGCGTTCAAACAAAGTAACATTAGACTTTTCAGCTAAGAATCAAGATTCTTATATGTCAGTTAAGCTTACAAGCTGTGAGAAAGGTCTTCAGTAAAAGTTATCTGTCAGTTAACCTATCAGTAACTTATCGGTGACTTGTTATTAATTATAATTAGTGTTCTAGGTGTTAATTGTAGTGCCTTTTACAACAAATGTGATTATTAATGTGCTTTTTTTAATCGAATTTAAAAGTAAATAATAATAGTACTTGTAGTAGGTTTTGCGAAAAAAATGAATAAAGTTTTTTTGAAGACAGCTGTTAATGAAACTATACTAAATAGCAAAAAAAAACTATATTAATAGCAAAGGTACAATACCGCCGACGTATCTTGGCGAGTCTGAAGTTAGCCGATTAACTGCGCAGTACACAATTTTGTTCCTAAAAGTTCCATTGCGCAGACAAACGGCTAACTTCAGGCTCGCCAAAATACGACGGCCGTACTGTAACGTTGCAAAGTTAAAAAATTTAAACTATTCGAGGTTCGTCGTCAGGTAATGGGACAATTGAGGTTTTTTTGTCAAAAATCCTCAGTAGAAGAGTCTAGAATTTTGCCCGATGTTGGCATAAGGCTCATTCCCTATCACAATAGGGATTATTACACTATATCCCTGCTTCTCGATATATTAGGCCTATGAAATTGCCGTTTTGCATTGGCCTTATATACTGGCCATTTCAAATCAAAATAGTTTTAGTCAGGCTAAGGCTAATTAATTTTGTTTTAAAAACATGGGAATCTTTTTCCAAAAGTAGTCATTTGTTTATTGATTAGTGTTGTTACATTTTCATCGCATTTCAAATCAAAAAATTCGTTTAATTTTTTTCATGCAAAACGGCAATTTTATTGGTAAAGACCTATTATTTGGTATAGTTTCATAAACTTGTGGTCTCAATGTGAATTAAAATCTTCCATTACAATCTATGTGATATCGTTTTTGGAAAAGAGAATTAATGTATTTAGTATTTAAGGAATTTTAATGAGACGTGGCCATTCATTATTTTCGATTACTTGACTCGGTCGCAAATGAATATTCAAAGCAATAGAATTTAAATAGAAAATGTAACAACTTCTCAATAATTTGTTTTACGATATTATGTTTGATTAATATTCGTATTTTTCTAGCTTATTTTCAAGAAATAGCTAAGCGAAAATCTTGACGTCCACACCACATTATTCACCTACGAAATTCAAAGAAAAAACTATAATGAACTGGACCTTTTGTAAAAAAAATGTAAGTATTTGTAGAAGGTGCTCTGTAGTGTCTTTATACCATCATGATCATCATTACCTGGATGATAGTCTTCCTTAATGTATATAGGAGGATTTTCCTTAATCACCACACTTGGCAAGCGGGTTGGTGATCACACACTTGTGACTCCTCTGGTGTCTTTCGCCAACGCTGATTACCTACCATCAAGTAATCGCTAAAAAAATCAGTGATTCTACTAACACGCCCAAATTCTACAGTAGCGCCATCTACGTACAGCAAAAATAGTTTGAAAGTCCAATTTCTGTATAACCAAGTCTCATTTAAATAGAATAAGGCAGCTTTTCTAATCATATTACCTATGTAGTTATAGAAAATAAATACATATATATTCTATATAATAATAATAAATGTAATATTTATGAAAAAAAAATATGATAGATGTGTAATTAATATTATTATGTAAAGGGTTTTGTAAAAATATAATAATTTTATTCTAGGTAAGCTTAAATAGTTTGACCGATGTGGTTCTTTGATAAGATATTTAACATATTTTAACAAAACATATCCCATATTCCAATCACTTCAGCTTTTTACATGAAAATTATTTAAATTTAAAAGAAAAGTGCTCTACATAAAGGAACAAAGTGTCAACGAACTTGTAGCTCCTCTGGTGTTGTGGGTATCTGTAGACGGCGCTGATCGCTTACCATCACGGTGTACCTTAGCTAGTTTTTCGGTATATAAACAGTTTTAAATTGATGGAATCTTACTCCATCGTAGGTCGCATTATCGCTCAAACAGTTATCGCTTTAAAATTTTTGTTAAAATATTTGACAAT